TCCTTTTCTGTGTTCCCCACCTCTTTTGAAAATTTTTTTAGAACATTTAAAACATTTTTGTTTTTAAAAGTTTGTTTTTATTTTTTAATTTTTATCTCTTTCCCCCACCTCTTGCTGTCTTCTTTCCCTTTGTTCCAATCCCAAATTTTGTGTTCCTTGTTTTGGCTGAGACCCACCACCTTCCTAGGTTTTGGCCTTCCTCTTCCCCATGCTGGGTCCTCCACTCACTGCAGCCTATGGGTGCTCTTGCCACAGATCATCCAGTTGACTCCAGTGCCTGTGAGCACACCCAGCGGCCTGGTGCCGCCCCTCAGCCCAGCTACGATCCCTGGTCCCACTTCCCAGCCTCAGAAGGTCCTGCTGCCCTCCTCCACCAGGTAATGGCTATTGAGGCAAGCCCAGGTAAGGGGGTGGTGGGGGCAGGTCGCTTCACTCTTCCCCTATTTATTTTTTAATACCTTTTTGTTGATTTAGAGAAAGAAGGGAGAGGGATAGAGAGATAGACACATCGATTGGCTGCCTCCTGCATGGCCCCCTACTGGGGATTGAGCCTGCAACTCAGGCATGTGCCCTGACTGGGCATCAAATCATTGACTTCCTGGTTCATGAGTTGTTGCTCAGCCACTGAGCCACACCAGCCAGGCTCTCCCCCCCATTTTTACTCTTTCCCCCCTTTCCTCTCCTTGCGACAGAATCACCTACGTGCAGTCAGCAGGCGGGCACACGCTGCCTCTGGTCACCAGCTCAGCATCCAGCCAGGCTGGAACAGTCACCTCATATGGGCCCACGAGCTCCGTAGCCCTAGGCTTCACCTCACTGGGACCCAGTGGCCCTGCCTTTGTACAGCCCCTGCTTTCAGGTGAGGCATGACCTGGCAGGCAGTGCTGGGAATCCATGGTGGGTCTGAGGCAGTCCAGCTAAGGCAGTCCAGGCCTAACACGAGCCTCTGCCTCTCTTGTTTCCCTCTCTGCAGGCCAGGCCCCGCTGCTGGCTCCTGGCCAGGTGGGCGTGTCACCTGTGCCCAGCCCCCAGCTGCCTCCCACCTGTGCAGCCCCTGGAGCTCCCGTCATCACGGCATTTTACCCTGGCAGCCCCATACCCACCTCATCAGCGCCCCTGGCCCAGCCATCCCAGGCCCCTGCAGGCCTGGTCTACACTGTGGCCACCAGCACCACCACCCCTACTGCTACAATCCTGCCCAAGGGCCCATCAGCCCCTCCTACTGCCACTGCCTCTGCCACCCCAGCCCCTACCAGCCCTTTTCCTAGTGCCACAGGTGGGTGTTGGGCCAACCCAGGGTGGGGTGAGTTGGATTCAGGGAATGGGCTCCAGTCAGGCCTAGCTCAGCAAATGCTCTTCTCCCCATCAGCAGGCCACTACAGCTTAGTGGCCCCCAAGGCCCAGAGGCCCACCCCCAAGGCCCCCCAGAAAGTGAAGGCAGCCATCGCCAGCATTCCTGTGGGCTCTTTTGAGGCGGGTGCCCCTGGGCGGCCTGGCCCTGCACCCCGGCAGCCCTTGGAGCCTGGCTCAGCTCGTGAGCCTGCTGCCCCTGAGTCCGAGCTTGAGGGGCAGCCTACAACGCCAGGCCCTCCACCTACCCCAGAGACTTGGGCTCCCACTCCCCGGAGTAGCCCCCCACCACCCCTGCCTGCTGAGGAGCGGACCAATACCAAGGGCCCTGAGACTATGGTGAGTGTCCAGCAGTCCTGTCCTGGGGGCTCTTGCTGCTACTGGGTTCTGTCCCTTGGCCCACTGTCTGCTCCCTAACCCACCTCTTCCCTGCATATATCTGAGACGTGCCCTTGTCCCTCCTGCTTGACTGTCACTGGGCTTTCTCCAAGATTGTCTCGGGCAATCAGCACCTGTCTCTTTGTTTCTGGGTTTTACCCCAACAAGTCTGAACCTGTGTCCTTCATCTCTCTGCCATCCCCACCCCAGGCCAGCAAATTCCCCAGCTCATCTTCAGACTGGCGCGTCCCTGGGCTGGGCCTGGATAGCCGTGGGGAGCCTCCCACCCCTTCTAGCCCGGCCCCAACTCCAGCCCCAGCCCCAGCCCCAGCCCCAGCCCCTGCTAGCAGCAGTAGCAGCAACAGCAGCAGCAGCAGCAGCAGTGAGGGCAGTAGTGGCAGAGCAGCCGGGGACAATCCTGAGCGCAAGGAGGCAGCTGGTACCAGCAAGAAGGTGAAGGTGCGGCCCCCGCCTCTGAAGAAGACCTTTGACTCTGTGGACAAGTGAGCATGGGCTAGGGGCTCTGGTGGAGCTTGTGGGGTTGGTGGGAGAGTGAGCAGCTACAGGCCAAGCAGGGGAGGTGACCCTGCCCACTCTCCAGCAGGGTCCTGTCAGAAGTAGACTTCGAAGAACGCTTTGCTGAGCTGCCCGAGTTTCGGCCTGAAGAGGTATTGCCCTCTCCCACCCTGCAGTCTCTGGCCACCTCGCCCCGGGCCATCCTGGGCTCCTATCGCAAGAAAAGGAAGAACTCCACCGGTAGGCAAGGGGGATTTCTGAGGTTGGTGGGGGACAGGCTGAGGCCACCTCCCCTGAGCCTGCTTCTTTTGACCAGACCTGGACTCTGCCCCCGAGGACCCCACCTCACCCAAGCGCAAGATGAGGAGACGCTCCAGCTGCAGCTCAGAGCCTAATACCCCCAAGAGTGCTAAGTGTGAGGGAGACATCTTCACCTTTGATCGCACAGGTGCTGATGCTGTGGCTGGCGAAGCTGTGAGGGACCCAGGGCCTGCAAAAGGGGTGGGGTCTTAGGAACTGGGTTAGAAATGGGAGGTGGGGTGGGTGTCGATGAGAGGAAGAACAGCAGGTTAAGGGTGAGTTCCAGAATCCACTGCCATGTGACTGGCATGTCCCCTCTTTGAACTCTGCTGTGAAAGAATTCAGTGAAGGTGAGGTAGACACTTAGACAATGGTGTGAAGATGGGGTGGCCAGTGGCCTTGATCATTCTCCCCGCCTTTGTTCCAGGAACAGAAGCTGAGGATGTGCTTGGGGAGCTGGAATATGAGAAAGTGCCATACTCGTCACTGCGGCGCACTCTGGACCAGCGCCGGGCCCTGGTCATGCAGCTCTTCCAGGACCATGGCTTCTTCCCATCAGGTGAGCACGTCTTGGAGTCTTGGGGAGCACTTGGAGGGGATCTGCCTGCTCATTTCATCCCCCCATTCCTTCTGTCCGTAGCCCAGGCCACAGCAGCCTTCCAGGCCCGCTATGCAGACATCTTCCCCTCCAAGGTCTGTCTGCAGTTGAAGATCCGTGAGGTGCGCCAGAAAATCATGCAGGCAGCCACTCCCACGGAGCAGCCTCCCGGAGCTGAGTCCCCCCTCCCTGGACCGCCCCCCACTGGCACTGCTGCTGCCTCTGTTCCCACTCCTAGCCCTGCTGGAGGCCCCGATCCCACCTCACCCTGCTCGGACTCTGGCACAGCCCAGGCTGCCCCACCACTGCCTCCACCCCCAGAGCCGGGGCCTGGACAGCCTGCTTGGGAGGGGGCCCCCCAACCCTCTCCCCCACCTCCTGGTCCCTCCACAGCTGCCACAGGCAGGTGAGGGGCCCCTGAGAAGATCCCAGGACCCATAGTACCCCCCTCAGGACATGGACAATATGTCGGTAGCAGAAACGGTGGGGGGGGAAGGGGAGGGTAAGATGGTTACTTCCTCCCCAATAAAGCCATTTCGTCCTTTCAATTTTGGGGCGGAATGAGGCCTGCCCCTCTGTGTACCCCCATCCCCCACAGCTCCCTCCCAGTGATGGGGGCAGCTGAGGGGAAGCAGGGACACAGTCTCCCTCCATCGAGCCCCTGTATATAATAACCTGGAGTGTGTGACCTTCAGATCTTTTCACTTGTACTTTATGCAAAATGGCTCGTGAGGGCTGCAATCAGAGAGAAGTGAGGGCCTTGGGCCACAGGGAGGCGCCTGTGGAGTAAGGGGTTCACGCACCCCTTTTTTCCCCAGAGGGGCTGGACTCAGGTTAGTTCGGGGGTAGGGGCTCCTGCACTTTGCCACAGGCATGGGGAGTGTTCTCTCCCCACCTCTTTGCCCTCCCAACTTGGGTTGTACTTTCTAAGAAGGTGATTCCCCCTACTCTTGTCCCCAACCCCAGAACAAAACATGTTGATCATGTGCAATATTTCTTACTGTGCCGAAAAGCCACAATGACCGCAATTAAAGCTGTTTAACACACCTGTGTGACTGCCAACTTGAAAAGGAGGGATGTTGGTTGCACCGGTCTTGTCGCCAAATGGCCATGGCGCTATATACTTTCCCCCAGTGAGATGAGGATGGCAATGCCAGGATACTCCCGACATCAGAAGGACCCCATGACCTAAGGTCCTTGACCACTGAAGGCTGGGTGGCTCCCTTTTAAGTCGGGTGCTAGGGACTTGTGGCATCTCTGTCTTTTTCTCAGGCATTCAATATGCATGGGCTTGGGGAAGGCCTAGATGTAAAAGTTTCAGCTGGACCTGAGGTCTGATCCCAGAGGTGACACTCCCAAATACTGGGCTGTCCTCAGTTGCCCCCATGTGGTGTAAACCAGCACTGCAGCCAGGAGCCTCTCCAGGATTCAGGGATACTGCCCAGCTGAGAGATGCTATACCCTGTGTAGAGGGATGACTGCTGGGAATGGGAGAGTCAGGAAGCTCCCAGAGCACCAGCCAGGAGAACAGCATGTGCAAAGATTGGAGGCCTGTGTTAGGCCACTATGTTCCCAGAATTCTTTCTTGATCCCGATCCTTTAGGGTAGTGTTAGCAAACTGGTTTCACCTAGTGTTATCGATTGTAAGTGCCTGCCTGGAGCACTATTGTGATTGTATAAATGTGCCACACTCTCCAAGAACCAGAATGCCTTGATAGATGAATGATGCCTTCTTTGGGCAGAAACAACACCCTGAAGAGATCGGGGCTGAGGCTGAGGTACCCAGATGGGCTTGGCCATAAAACAAAATGGGAGGGAGACTGAAGAATAAGAATTTAATATTGCAGGAAAGCAGATGTTAGAGTGTGGGCTCTGGAAGAGGGACACCCTGACCCTGGTCTTGGGCCAGCAGGCGCAGAAGCAAGGAATGCAGGGCCCGGCAGACAGGTGTATAGCCTAGGCGGCTCAGGTGCAGGTAATCATACATGTCATGGTGGCTGATGGTACCGTCTGAGTGCACGAAACCAGGATCAGCATCCAGGAAATGGGCCCGTGGACAGCCAGCCAATGCCGCCCGTACCAGCTCGTTCACCTGCCGGTTTTTCTCACGAAGTGGGTTAGGGTGCTGGCCCCTCGGAAGCAGGCCCTGAGGAGCGTACCAAGAGTTGTGAGAAGATATCCTATCAAAATCTGGGTCCTACTAGCATCTCTGTGCCAAACTGTTCTCCAACCCCCACTATGAAGTCCCCAGCTGCAGAATACACGAGGGATGGGAAATGGGAATTGGAAGGATAGTTCCTGATGCCTGGTCTGAGACCCCATTCAACAGCAATAGCCTTATAAAAATGTTGACAAGCTGAAACTGGTTTGGCTCAGTGGATAGAGCGTCGGCCTGTGGACTGAAGGGTCCCAGGTTCAATTCCGGACAAGGGCATGTCCATTGGTTGTGGGCACATCCCCGGTAGGGGGTGTGCAAGAGGCAGCTGGTCGATGTTTCTAGCTCTATCTCTCTCCCTTCCTCTCTGTAAAAAATCAATAAAACATATTTACAAACAAACAAACAAACAAACAAAAAAACAACCCAAAATCTCTAGTGCTCCCCTGGGAAAAAGGGCCTAATTGGTCATTGAACATGTCCTTATTCATAGCTGCTCTGATGGTTGTAGCAAGTGTCAATGGGAAATTTTGCCTGAAAGCCATTGCTCTGTGCCAAGCTACCCAGAACCATGCCAACTATGGCGACACATGAGGGGGTCCCAGAACACTGCTATCCATTCTCCCCGCCTTCCCACTCTCTCACCAGCACCACGACCCGGGCCTGGGGCTGCCGCTGATTCACCAGTTGTACGATGGCCTTGATGCCGCCAGCCACCTGCTCTGCTGTGTGCCCATGGTTGTTTGTACCTACCCAGACCACCACAATCTGGAGAGAGGCATGAAGCAGTGGTGAGGGGGCAGGCTAAGAGGGCTTTAGCTGCCCGCCCAAGCCCCACTTACCTTGGGCCGGATGTGTTCAAGCTCCCCATTCTCCAGCCGCCATAGCACATGCTGTGTGCCATCACCGCCAATGCCAAAGTTAAGTGCATGCAGAGGAGAGAAAAGCTCCCGCCAGATCTGTGGGCAAGAATGGTGTGGGCACAGGGGCATTGTCAGCATGCCCTACTCTCGGTCCAAATGTTAACCAGATGTCATTACGGAAGAGCCTCTCCATGGAAGCCATCTCATCCTGAGCAAACCCCTGTATGGTCACACCTCACGTTATAGTATAGCATCTATAGTATAGTATAGTATAGTATAGTATAGTATAGTATAGTATAGTATAGTATAGTATAGTATAGTATACATGCTAGCATAGTCTTTGGAACCCATAGAAGCAAGACTCACTTTATGGAAACCATTCTGCTTGAGCTATGTGTTGAAACAATAAACCTCTCTGAGGAAAACCATTAACCGTGCTTAGTGGAAAGATATTAAACCCCAGCCCCCTTTATGGAGAGCCATTGCAGCTGACCTACACATTGTGGAAAGAACTATAGCTTTGTGGAAATCTATTAAAACAAACAATAAAGAGCCTCACTTTAGTCAATCTTGCGGGAAGCCTCATTTTTAGTCTCATTATATACAATAACAGCCTGATAAAGCCAGGGCACACACTTCCTTCTTGGTATAATGTACCTTACACTGAAAATCTGGGTGCTGGGCGCTACCCGAGGTTATTCGGGTACCCCATATTCCGCCTGGCCTGAGGTCTGGTCCAGGTAAGTCAAGAGGGCAGGCCTGGGTGGGGCAGGAGGAGGGAGATCGGCCTCACCTCGCACTGATGCATCAGCTGGACCAAGGAGTCCCCGATGAAGACGACTTCGGGTTCTTTATCTTTGCTGTCAGCCACGAACCTATGGTGCTTCGGGGACAAACGCGGGTGAGTTATGGCACGCTCGCTCCTGGGGCCGTCAGACAGCACCCCCCTCCCACTGGCCTCAGTTTCCCAATCCTGTAGTGAAAGCCAGGCGAGCCAGCTGGACTCCCGAGCCCCGGCCCCCACCCGACTCCTGATGACCGCGGGCGGGGTCGCTCACCAGGGACATCCAGCGTCCATCGCCCTGAATGTCCTGCACCGGCGTGGGCTTGCTGGCTGGGTTCTCGTCGCCATTCATCTTGGCGTCACAGCTCCTGCAGGACGAGCGAGCGAGCGAGGTGGGCCCAGAACGTTCCCGGAGGAGGCAGTCCGCCACACCCACTCCCACCCCTCCAGGCAACAATGGACGGTCCGGACGCCGCACTCCACCGGCGCATGGAGGCGGGTCCCGGGCGCCGCCTCCTCTCCCGGGGCGGAAACCTCCACTCAGGAGGGGAGGCGGATCGGGAAGCCCGGCTTCCCCCGCGGCGGCAGCACAGTGAGCTCGTCCGGCGCTCTCCGCCCGGGCGCTCTCCTCCCCGGGCCGCGGCGGCGGCGGCCATGCTGCGGCACCTGGGAGGGGAGGACGGCACCACCCAGCGCCGGGGGCGGGGGGCGGGGAGCGGCCACGAGGAGGGAGAAACCACCGGAGCGGCGCCGGGGGGTGAAGTGCTGGAAGGCCGAGAGTGGGCGGGGACAATCTAGCGCCTTGTCTCGCCGGGAGAAGCCATTTGCTGCAGGAGGAGAAATGTGCGGAAGGGACTACCTCTCTCTCTTTTTCCCCCCTCCCTCCCTCTCGCCCTTTCTCCCTCCCTTTATCCCTTTCTCTCCCCATCTCTCCGTCCCCCTCCCCGTCTTACTCCCTCAGTGTGTCCCATTCACGCGGCGGCGGGGGAGGGGAGTGAGTGGACGAGTCCATTCAGGATGGGGTGGTTCATACACACCTGGCCAGGAGGAGACGCTCCCATTTTCTACTGATGGCGGGGACAGGGAAGAAAAATGGCAAACATGACAGGCTCAGCTGGCCGTGTGGCTCAGTGGGTTGGGCGTGTCCTCTATAGCAAAAGGTCCCGGTTTGATTCCCAGTCAGCGCACATGCTGGGGGGTTGCAGGCTCTATCCCCAGTAGAGGGCGTGCAGGAGGCAGCCGAATGATGTTTCTCACATCATTGTTTCTCTACTCTCTAAAGTCAATAAAACATTTTAAAAAATTAGAGACTCATTTGTAAAAGAAACACTCTAAAGCCGAGCCAGAACATTACTGAGCCTATCTGCTCATGGGCCTCCTACTCAAAACCACCAGTTTAAGTGTCATGAAAACTAAGTTACGTGTCATTACAGACATCACAGGTCCTGCAAGGAGGTTAGAAAGAAAGTGCAGAACGAGAAAGGAAATTAGAGACGCTGCAAGGCCCAGGTCCAGCCTGGCAAAGCTCCCACAGCTGCTCACCTTGCAGATCTATGGCCTCTGCTCCCCTCCCTAGACCTACTGCCAACCAATAACTTCAGCTGGGTGTGTCTGGGCTCTGAAACCTATATCCACAGCCAAGGCCACCTAAGGTCTATCTTCCCCCACCCCAACTTAATCTCAGATCTCAAGTCTTCCCAGATCTCCCAGTTCTTGGGGACCAGCTGTTTGTGGGGGTTCCACACCCCCTAAACTTCCTGGCCATAATCCCAAATGGGATCTTCCTATCTATTCATTCCTTCTCTAGGCAGGTTGATACTGAGATACGGAGATGAGTCTCTTATTTATGTTTTGCTTTAATTCTCTTGCCTGGAACCGGATCTGACTCATAGTACCAAGTACTGTGGCTGCTCACAAGTACTTGCTGAATGAATATTAAATGAAGGGATCTTGTCCTGGTCTTGTCCCCTTGGGTGGGAGAGACAGATCCAAACACAGAGCTGAGGAAAGGATCAAAGTTGTGATTAAGAGAGGAACTGGGGGCCTCTGGAGATGAGGCAGAGGAGGACTCTGATGGAGGGTAGGTGACCTAGATGGAATAGTATCTGAGTTAGGATTTGAAAGATCATGAAGGTTAGCCAAGCAATATTACACAGATAGTACAGCTCATTGGGACATGGGTAAAACCCTGGCAAAGTTTGATTTTAAAGTCTGATGGCTCAAGTGTAGGTAAATAAATTGAAGAGGTAGTGAGGCAGTTCCTGAAGCAAAGCTTAGTGAGAAACAAAGCTTCAAGGCATTAATTCAACAAGTGCTATTTTAAGTTAGATGTTGCCTCATCTCATACTTACACTAACTGTATGAAGGAGATATTATTATAAACCCAATTTTACAGATGAGGAAACTGAGTGGCTGCACAATTTTCCAAGTTCACACAACTCAAATGTGTCAGTCTGGATGTTTGAACCTAGTCCCAGAGACCAGCTCTGAATGGTGTCACTCTACTGTCTATTGATGATTTCTGTGACCGAATGGGGGAGTGGGAGGTGGGGGAGGGGGGGGCTGGCTGGCCCTGAAGCCCATGTGCCTCGCCTAATTTCGAGCACTCCAGACTGAAACTCCACATATAGACCTCTAAACCAATCAGATTCAGGAAGGGGCGGGCCTAGTGAACTTCACAGCCAACTGGTGGCTGGGACCTACCCTGAGGACGAATGGGAGGTTTCCGGATATACGGCTGAGATGGGCGGGGCTACTCCAGGCGGTCGGAAGCCCTGGCACGTGCCTCTGAGCCACTCAACTCTAAGGTGCGCGCACGCGCATGCGCAGGAGGCACGAGGCCGGAAGCGAGGCCGGAAGAGCACTAGGCGCGTAGTGAACTGGGGTCTCCTCGGAAAACAGAAGCCATTGCACCCCACAGCGTGGTGGGGTAGGGTGGGCTAGAGGGAAGGGACCAGGTTCATCGGGACAGGAGACGGTAAGGTGCCCCTCTCCCATCCTTACCTCACCAACCATATTCCCCTTTTCCTACTTCAACTGCCCCACCCTCGCAACCTCTCCAACCCCCGTGACCAAGCCCCAGGCCCGCTGTCGCCCTTTCTGGGTCTTCAAAGTTTTCTCTGTACAAATTCTCTTCTGCTTTTCCTTTTCTACCATATCTCTACTTTCTGCATTCTCCAAGGACCCATGATTCTTTCCCCATCCTCCATCTTTTAGCTATTTTCTCATGCCTCTGTTTCCTGTAACTCTTCTGGTGTTCACTGACAAGTCTTCCCATTCACCAGGATTCCCTTGATCCTGCCCTATATCTATGACTTCTTCCCAGGACCAGCGTTTTCCATTTTTAGTATATATGCTGCCAAAGCGAGTACCCAAGCCTTTTCCAATCCCTTTCTGCCCACTCCCTCTCTCACATCGCCTCCCACCTTACCCCAAACTATCTCCTTCTCACGACTCACTTTTAGGTCCCTGATTTGTATACAGATGAGCACCCTATCTTTATTTTCCAGGACTCTATGGACCCCCGAGGGCCAGCACCACAGTCTTTCCAGAGAGCTGAAAAACCTGGTCGGGTCCGCCGTCGGAAGACCAGACGGGAGCGTAATGAGGCCCTGGTGGGCAGCCGCCGGCCATTGGCTCATCAGGAGCCTTCTGTGGCTAGTCGGAATCCACCCATGGACCTCCAGGACCATGTGGCCCCTACTGCAACCAAGCTAGTGGTCATAACCCAGGGCCGGCTAAGCCGGGAGCACCGGGGTCTCTTCAACCATGAGGTGAAATCTCTGGATGTGGCAAGGCTGCTGAGCAGTGGGTCACTGGAACCAGACACCCCCACATTACCCACCAAGCCTTCCCCAAGCCCAGTCAGGGCCCAAGAACCAGGCCAACAGTCAAGGGGCAAGGAGAACCAGGTGTCTGGAGACTCTGGCCCAGGCCCACCTAGTCCCCTGGAGCTCCTTGGCTTGGGGCAGCTGCTAGGGGAGCTGCAGGGCCAGCTGATTCTGCCACAGGCCTTCCCCAGGAGGAACCTAGTACAAGAGGCCAGGGATGCCATCCTGGGTACCTTACAGGTATGCCATGGTGGTGTGCCCGACCTTACCCTGGTGCTCCGAGGCTGCCAGCCATCCTTGTCAGGTGAGCTCACCTCCTGCCCCTTGTGCTCCCCTTCCCCTTGTCTGTTTAGTTCAGCTGACACCCCCCCCCCCCATGCTTCTTTCTTCTATGCCAGGGACCAAGCCTGAGGACTCTGAGAGAGGAAGGATCAACAGCCCTGAGCAGACCCCAGGGGAAGGAAGGCAGAGGAGGAGAGGAGGACAGGGGACAAAGGAATTCACCTTTGCTGTGCCTCACACCTCCAGCACTCTCACTACACACAGAGTGAGCCTGGCTCCACCGAAAGGTCCTTGGCCACCCACATTGCCTTCCACATCTCCGGTTGCCTGGGGCCCCCCAACAGCCTTTGACCTGCTGAAAAGCATCTGGCTAGTAGCCACACCACCTCCTTCCTGGCCCCATGGGGTCAGCACACCACAGTCCTTGCCTCAGCTACCATCCCCCTTGTTTTCCCAAACCTCTGCCCTTGACTGGAGTCCTTGTCCCCCTGCCCCACTGCCCGGCCTCTCCTATACAGTGGCCCAGAGCAGCCCAGAGGCCTGGTCCTTTCCACCCATGAGACTGTACTAAGGGGACTAATGCTGGTATAGGGGCAGCACTCCCAATCACCTCAATAAAATACCTTCTTCATAGTCCTCTTAATTTTCACTGAGTGGTTGACTCAGGAGAGTCATAACTCTTGAAATGGAGGGGAAGGTACTATCACGTGTCACCTTTCTAGGGCCTAAGGGACCAGGAGAAAGAGAAACCTGGGGCTTTAGTCAATTCAATGCATCCACACACTAAGGCCAACTATGTGCCAGACTCTGAGCTCTGGCGATGCTGGGGCCTCAGAGTGAGTGGTAGGCTCTGTCTCCAGGAGACTCCAGTGGTGGGGAGGGGCTGGGGGAGTCTGAGGAGGGAATCTGACTCTGCCTCAGTGATGAGGGAGGTCTTCAAAGTGGAGCTGACACAGACCGTTGTATATCTCAAGATGGGTAGATACTTGCTTGTGGAGGAGGGAGAGGACATTTGAGACAAAGGGAACAGAACGTACAAGGCCTGGAGAGGGTGAATAGGAGATATGGGACCATTTTTGTTCAGCCCATGTCTATGTGCCATGCTGAGACCTAGAGTGAGTCACTTATGGGCCCTGCAATAGAGGGCCTCTTGGCTGGCTGGGCATAGGAACAGTGTGTGCGCAGGAAAGGCAGATGAGGTCTGAATCTGGCCCAGACTTTGCTTTGGTCTGTGATATGTTTTAAACTTTTGAATCAACTGCCTGCTGTTACAAATCATACAGTTTGCTTTAAAAAATTACATTTCTGGCTTCTAAAAAAAGAAAAATGGAAAATGACCTGGCACCCCACCTATTACTCCTGCTGACAACTGCTCCTCAAATAGAGTAGCAGAGGCCCCTTTGTGTGGGACACACACTCTCCCTTAGAAGTGCTTCACACACTTATGTTTCTTGTTGGTCCCTTGGTTTAGAAAGTTTTTTAAAATGGTATTTTGTGGAGTGCAAATTTTTTAAAGTAAAGGGGGAAGGGTGAAACTAGAAAAAGTTTTGGAATCTGCTCAGGAAAATTTAGTTGAGTTTGGATGCTACTCTGTAAAGCTTTCCCAGGTTTCCCCATTGACACTGGGAAACTAGGATTGGTACCAGCATGGAGGGGACTGCACCAGGAGAACACACAGCTGTGACCGGGCTGAGGTCCTATGGGGAGAAAGTGGCAATACTGTAATTTGAACCTAGGCAACTTAGTTCAGTCTGCTAGACTTACAACTTCTTCATAGCAGCCCCGTTGCACACACTGGTAGCTGCCACGGGACAGGGTCAGGAAGAGGGATATCATGGTTGAGGTTGAGGGCTCTCTGCCACCTCCGTATTGTGTGACCCAGAACAAGTGGTTTGCCCTCTCTGTGGGCACTTCCCAGAGTACTAGGTGTGGAACGCTGGCATCTGGCCGGACCGGGGTGGGAGGGGGTGGGGGGGTGGGGGGGGTGCTGGCATGGGGATGAGCAATCAAAAGCAGTTTTAAACTGATTTCAGAGAGTAAGGGAGAGGGAGAGAGATAGACACATCAATGATGAGAGATAATCAATGATCAGCTGCCTCCTGCATGCCTCCCACTGGAGATGAAGCCTGCCACCTGGGCATGTGGTCGGAATTGAACTCAGGATTCTTCAGTCCTCAGGCCTACGCTCTATTACCCTGAACCAAACTGGCTAGGGCTCAAAGAGCAGTTTGAAAACCAAGTTGAGGGGAGATCAGGACTGAGCTGGGGTAGGGGAGTTGGCCACCTGAAGATGGTAGTCTGGAGGAGGCAGGGCTTGTGGGAATGGGAGTTCAGTTCAGGACACGGGGAGCCCAGAGGTATGTCACCGGTGCACTGGGGCCGGGCCGGGATAGAGAGGATGGGATGCCTTGTGGTTTGGAAAGGGGCCCCAGCGGGCCATCCCGATGGACGGCGTGGGGACCGCAGTGCCCTGCGGCCCCTTTAAACGGGGGCGCGCGCCAGCCGGCCCGCTCGTCCCCGCCGCCGTCGCCGGGCTGGAGCGGGAGCCGGAGTGGAGCCCGGGCCGGGGCCGGAGAGGGCGGAATGGAAGCCCCGCGCGGGCCCGCTCTGCACCGCCTGCTGCCACCGCTGCTGCCGCTGCTGCCGCTGCTGCTGCTGCTGCCGCTGCCCCCCCACGCCGGGGCCAAGTACGTGCGGGGCAACCTCAGCTCCAAAGAGGTGAGCGAGCGGGCCCTCCGCCGGCCCCGCTGGCAGGGAAGGGAGAGAGGGGGGGGAAGGGGCTGCCCCGCCCCTGCCGCCCCTCTCCGAGGGACCCGCGGGGCAGGGGGCGGGGGGCGGAGAGAGGGGCGGGAGGACAGCGAGGTGGTGCTGAAGGGACAGCACTTTTCACTTCTCCGAGAGCCTGGAGTTCACGCTCGGGCTCCGGACCCGGAAAGGGCCATTTAGAATACTGCCAAGCACCGGGTGTCTCTGGAATCAGGGGCGGCCGATGTCAGTCCGATGGTATCTGGGACAGAAGGTGGCCAGGATGGGGATCTGGCCCTCCAGGGTCTTTCTCAGGGCACCTGGGAAGTGGGGAACGTGTTCAGGGAATGGGCATCTGGGACAGGAATCCTGGAACCAAGGTGAAGGATCACGGAAGAATTTTCGGATTTTGATTCCCTTAAGGCTTCTTGGGAAACCAGGTACCGAGGTTAGGAAAAAGAAGTTGAGGGTCTACATAGAGTAGAGGAGAGTTCTCAAACGACTGGGAAGAGGGTCTGACTGGGGCCCTTTCCCAGGACTGGGTGTTCTTGACAAGATTTTGCTTCCTCTCGGATTACGGACGACTGGACTTCCGTTTCCGATACCCTGAGGTGAGCCTTCCCCAACCATTCCCACACTGAGGCTGGATGTTCCCTTGGCCTTCCGAGGCAAGGGCTACCCCGGCTCCCACACTCCCCCACACCTTAAAATCTCTGGGCCTGCAGGCCAAATGCTGTCAGAACATCCTCCTCTACTTTGATGACCCATCCCAGTGGCCAGCTGTGTACAAGGCAGCGGACAAGGTGAGGGCTGTGAGGAGGATGGATGGGAGGGAGAGGTCCAGGCTGGCCAGGGAGTGACCGTGTCCCTGTCTTCCTCAGGACTGCCTGGCTAAGGAGTCAGTGATCAGACCTGAGAACAACCAGGTCATCAACCTCACTACCCAGTATGCCTGGTCAGGCTGTCAGGTATGGGCCTGGCCTGGGGGAGTGGGAAGGTGCTGAAGGTCAAGGACAGTGCAGACAGGCTTCAGCCTTCTCGCTCCCCCCCAGGTGGTGACAGAGGAGGGAACCCGCTACTTGAGCTGCTCCAGTGGCCGAAGCTTCCGCTCAGTGCGTGAAAGGTGGTGGTATATCGCGCTCAGCAAGTGTGGGGTAAGGGGCCATCCTGGCCACCTGGGTCTTTTCCTCTTTACCTCCCTGCCAATCCCCTACCTGCCCAGGGCCTCCTGAGGCCTCCTCACTCCCACAGGGAGATGGGCTGCAGCTGGAATATGAGATGGTCCTCACCAATGGCAAGTCCTTCTGGACGCAGCACTTCTCTGCGGATGAGTTTGGTGAGCATGTGGAGACCCGAAAGCCAGGATCTTTGAGGGATCCCAGAGTTGGGTGCCTGCTGAGGGACAGCAGCCTGACTGAGCCATATTCTCCTTCCGCCAACTTGGCAGGGATCCTGGAGACAGATGTGACTTTCCTCCTCATCTTCATCCTCATCTTCATCCTCTCCTGCTACTTTGCATGTGAGTCCAGCACATGATTGGGGCAAGGTTGGGGCAGATGAGCCATTCTCCCTTCCTGTCTGTGAACTGTCTCCCCTCCCCTCCCCCCTCTAGATTTGCTGAAAGCTCGTCAGTTGCTCCACACGACTTATAAAATGTTTATGGCTGCAGCTGGAGTGGAGGGTAAGGTTTAAAGTATCTCAACTTTTGAGTTCTGTGAGAGGAACCTGAGGCCCAGACATCAGGGCCTGTGGGAGGAGGAGGCTGGGGGCTGGACTCCTGGGTCTCCTAGGTCTGGGGGCGGAGGAGGGTTCTGGTCACCTGGATGACAGTATGAGGGATCAGTGATGCCCCAAAGCCAGTTTCTGTCCTTTCCTTTATCTGCCCATCCTCCCCTCAGTTCTGAGTCTCCTGTTTTTCTGCATCTACTGGGGCCAGTATGCCACTGATGGCATTGGCAACGAGAGTCTGAAGATCTTGGGTGAGAATGATGGGGACCAGGGCAGGTACACGGGTTCCTCTGCCACCCTGTCTGAGCCGCCCTTTCCTCCCTTCTCTTAGCCAAGCTGCTCTTCTCCTCCAGCTTCCTCATCTTCCTGCTGATGCTCATCCTTCTGGGGAAGGGATTCACAGTGACACGGTGCCCAGGCTGGGTTGGGATGGAGTGCTGGGGATGGGGAGTGGCTGGGCTCAGGGGTGGGGTGGTGGCAGAGGGGCTGGGCTGTGGGGTGGGGGCAGAGGGGCTGGGCTGGGGGGCGGCCACCCCTATTCCCTGACAACCCCACTCCTGCCATTTCCCCTCATGGCCTGCTGCCAGGGGCCGAATCAGCCACTCAGGCTCTGTGAAGTTGTCTGTCTACATGACCCTGTATACTCTTACCCACGTGGTGCTGCTCATCTATGAGGCTAAGGTGAGTCCCACTCACCACTGTCCAGGCCCTGCCCTTTCCCTGCTCCCCTTATCCCCCCGCCCCCCCGCCCCCCCAGCTTTCACAGCTTCCTCTACCTGGCTGCTAGCCCTCCATATTGCACTTCTGTGATATCTCTCTCCCACTCTGTGATTTCCCACCTTCCCATCTGTCTTTCTACGTGCATTCCTCCCCTCTTCACTGTCTCTGAATAACTTCTCCCTCTTCTCTGTCTCTCACACATTTGTGTTTAATGCCAGGACCAAGAGTTCAGGAATCACACAGACCTGGATTCCATGCTGCTACGCCCCCTCCCACTGGCGCCCTCTTTGGGCCTGTTTTCTTCTCTGTAAACTTAGGAAGCTCTTACATACCCCAGAGTTCCTCTAAGGCTTTATATTACCTTGGCTTTGGCTTCAGCCAAAAGGTGTCTCTCTCAGCCTCAGTTTCCCCCTCTGTGAAGCGGTGTGATCTTAAGACCTACCTCATAGAGTTGATGAATAGAAAGCTTCCACATGGCAGTGTTTACCTGCTGGGCCCATGGTAGATGTATTCTCTTCCTATCCTTGTCACCTTCTCTCTACCTCTGTGTGCTCTGTCTCCATCCCTTGTTCTGCTGTTTCTGTTCTGACCAAGTCACTCTGTCCCCTGGGTGCCCAGGGGTGTGGTCTGGGGTCCCTATGTGGGGGCCAGGGCTATGACAAACCCTCTCCCTTGGGTCAGTTCTTTGACCCGGGCCAGGTACTGTACACGTATGAGTCGCCGGCAGGCTACGGGCTCATCGGGCTGCAGGTGGTGGCTTACGTGTGGTTCTGCTACGCCGTGCTTGTCTCTTTGCGCCATTTCCCGGAGAAGCAGCCCTTTTATGTGCCCTTCTTTGCTGCCTACACCCTCTGGTGAGATGTGCTGGGCCTTTGTTATGTCCCTGTGTAACCTCACACAAGTCAATTAACTTCTGCCTCATTTTCCTAATTTGTTTAATGGAGGTGGAAATTGTATTGCCTCATAGAGTCACTGTGAGAATTCAATGAATTCATAGACGTAAAATGCTTAGAAACAGATCTGGCATGCAGTAGGTCCTTAGTTGTTATTATCGTATGTTAATTAATTCATTCAAAATCTATTGAATTTTCTACCGGGTGCTGGGATATGGGGTGGGGTGGAACTGAGTTAAATTCAACCTAGTCCTTGCCCCCCAGAATTTCCCAGGCCAGTGGCAATCTTGCCCCTTTTAACCTCTGACTTTTGAAGGTCACACAACTTCCCTCCAGTTTGGGACCCACCTGGGGCCTGTGTGTGTGTCTGGGAGGGAAGTTCGGGGTAGGGGTGGGTGGAGGGCGTGTGGCAGTGTCTCTACCAATCCAATTCCTCCTTCTCAGGTTCTTTGCAGTTCCTGTCATGGCCCTGATCGCCAACTTTGGAATCCCCAAGTGGGCTCGGGAGAAGATTGTCAATGGCATCCAGCTGGGAATCCATTTGTACGCTCATGGCGTGTTCCTGGTGAGGATGAGCATCTGGTGGGGTGGGAAGCCAGTAGGCGGTGAGACTCCCACCCCATCTGCCTGAACTCTTGATCCATTTCTTTCTTTCTTTCTTTTTTTTTTTTTTTCCAATTTGTTTTTGTTTTTTAATTTTTATTAAGGTATTATATGTGTACATATCTTACCATTGTCCCCCCCACCTCCCGCCCCACTGATCCATTTCTTTCACTTCATTCCTTCAGTCACCTCATAGACAGTGATTGGGAGTCTGCTAGGTTCCTGCAGGCTACTCTACTGTGTCCCCCAGACTCTACTCTCTTTTGTTCCTCTCTCCACCTTGTGTCTGGGCTCTTCCCCCAACCCACCCTTTCTTTGACCCCCTCCCTATTCCCATTCCTGATCTTGTGTCCCCAGACTCAAATCTCCCTTCTGTATCCCCATTGCCTCTCCCAACCCTCTTGGTCTCTATTCCACCCTTCACCCACACATTCTCTGATATCTGTCACTCTGTCACAGGCCATTGTTTGGAAAGAAGCAGCTGGGGTGGGCCAGGCTGGGGTTCCAAGGTCCTAGATCAGAATCACATCAAGAGGATACTAGCAGCAAATCTCTTCTTTGTTTTATATCCCATCCAGATTTCTGGGTGACAGTTCTTATATTAATTCATCAATCCAGCCACTGTCCACCCATACACCATTCAGTGGGCACCTGTCTCAAAAGATATCCCTCTCAGCCTCATGATCATCCCACTTCATAGAGGAGAAAACTGAGGCTGAGAGAGACACCTTTTTGGCTGAAGACAGCCTTTGTGTCATGCCAGGAACACCCACATGCATTTATTCCTACCCTCTTTTCCTAAGTGTCAGAGCAGCCCCAGGATAGAATAGATAATCGTTATTGAACCCAATATACAGAGGAGGGAAGCTAAGTACCAGAGAAGGCAGATGACCGGCCAGGGCTCCAAGGCCTTTGGTGGCAGGACAGGGACCTGGAACCTGGTCCTTCTCTGGCAGACCATAAGAGCTGGCATGAGAAAGAAATAGGCATCACTGAGGGCCCCAGCGCCTGACCCCAGGGGTCTACCATGTGCTCTGTGTAGGAAAGGCTCTCAGCTGATGGAGGGGGCCAGGTCCCCTAGTTGCTACTCCAAAGCCTGACTCAGGTACAGATTCCCCTTCTCTGGGATGGTCCATCTTTAGGCTCTGCAGGAAGTCAGAAGGAGGCAGAGAGAGAAGTGATGAGAACCCATCATGGGCCAGGCTCTGCACCAGTCTCCATTTCCACCCTTTCCTCATCTTTCTTAGTAGGCACTGCAGTCCCTTTTCCCAGTGAAGTGTGGAGAGTTTAATTAACAGGTCCCAGATCCTACACTTAGTGAGCAGTGGGGCTGAGAGGGGCAGTGCAGGCTCAAAACACCAAACATTGTGCCCTTTCTTCTATGTTTCACCTTCAGCCAGTTTCAGTCCTAAAAATGCTCAGGTTAACTCAGCTCAGCTCCAATGCAGACATTTCATTGTTGATTGGCTTCAGCTTACTAATTTATTCAGCAAACCTTAGAGGGGCCATGCTGGGCTTCTTGGGTGCAGTTATAGAGTCATACCCAGGCACTGCCTTTCTATTAGACTCATTGGGGAGACAGCTTTACGTTCAACCAATATTTATTGCGAGCTTGTATGTGCCAGGTACTGTTGTAGAAGGTACTGGGGATTCAACAGGGAACAGAACAGTCTAGTTCCTGTCCTCATGGAGCTCACATTCTACAAGCTGCTAGTTCAACTGAATTTCCTGTTTATGAAACTATTCTATGGCTTTTGATGTTCAATATGATAGCTACTATCCATATGTGGCCCCTGGGCACTTACATATGGCCAGTGTGATTGAGAAACTAAAATTTTAGTTTAACTTTTATTAACAAATTTAAATAGCCACATGTGGCTAGTGGCTATCGTACTGCACAGCGCAAGATGCTAAAGCTTAATCAGTCAGTGATAACTAACTCAGCGATCAGGGCTCTGAGGGAAGAAGCACTGGCAGAGCAATGAGTTGTGGTGGAGGAGAAAGGACAGAGCCCAGGGCACTGAGGGCCCAGAGGAGGCGTCTTATCCCTTTGGAAGGGTTGCAGGGAAGCGTGTGTGTGTGTGTGTGTGTGTGTGTGTGTGTGTGTGTGTGTGAGAGAGAGAGAGAGAGAGAGAGAGAGAGAGAGAGAGAGAGAGAGAGAGAGGTGGTTCCAAGTGCAGGGGAATCCTTAGGCCTCCATGATTAAGGAGACAACCTGAGGCCTGGACAGTGAATGCGTCAACCCACACCTGCCCCCCCCCCCCCCCCCCCCAGATCATGACGCGCCCCTCGGCGGCCAACAAGAACTTCCCCTACCACGTGCGCACGTCGCAGATCGCCTCGGCCGGCACCCCGGGGCCCGGCGAGTCGGCAGACAAGGCCTTCCCGCAGCACGTCTACGGGAACGTGACGTTCATCAGCGACTCGGTGCCCAACTTCACGGAGCTCTTCTCCATCCCCCCGCCCGCCTCCTCCGTAAGCCCCGCGCTCCCGCCGCCCGAGGAGCTGCTGGCGCCGCCCCTGGAGTACCTAACCCCACTCCCGGCCCCGCCACCGCCCCCCGGGCCCCGGCGCCTGAGCCCGCCCCCCGCCTTCCGCACGCCTCGCGCCCCGATGCCGCGTCGGGACCGCCCCCCGGCGCCCGCGCCCACCCTGCCCGACTGGGTCCTGGCGCTGCTGCGCACGCCCCCGCGGACGCCCCGCGCCGTGCCCCCGCCGCTCGCCGTGCCCCCGCCGCCGGCCTTCCGCAGCTCGCCCCCGCCGCCCCCGCCCGAGTTCGCCCCTCGCGCCCCGACGCCGCCCCTCGAGTATCTGGCCCCGCTGCCCAGGCGCCCCGCCGCCCGCTCCTTCCCGGACTGACACGGGCGCCCACCCCTCGGGAGGGGGGTTCTCCGGGGGAGGGGGCCGGGCCTTCGGGGCCGCATCTGCCCCCCGAGGGTCCTGGACGGCCTCTGACCCTGACCCCCCTCCCAGGCCGGGAAGCAGGTGGAGGAGACGGCGGTGGCGGCGGCGGCGGCCCCGAGGGGCCGCGTGGTGACCACGGCCGAGCCCGGCGCGGCCTCCCCGCCCCCACCCTCTCGGTTCCCCAAAGGGGCCGACCCGAGCTGGGATGGCCCGACGCCGTCCTACCAGCCTCTGGTGCCCCAGACGGCGTCGCCGCACACCGGCTTCACCGAGTACTTCAGCATGCGCACGGCCGGGGGCGCCGCACCCCCAGTCTGACACCCCAGCGCGCCCCTGCCCCACGGGCCGCGCGCTAGGCCCCGGACCCCGCTCTGTCCCAGCCCCAGGCCTCCGCCACCCCAGGCCTCCCCGCCCGCCCCGCCCCGCCCCGCGCGCCCAGGTGGGGGTGCGCAGTGTCCCGCTCCCCCCCTGCCCCTGACTCTGGTGCCAAACGGTCCCGCGGGAGCCGCTCTCCCCGTGCCCTCCCTCAGCCCCTGCCCCGAGCGGCGCCGGATTCCGGGCTCCCGCTGTTCCGTGACCTCCGGCCCCCGGGCCCCCTCCGAGACCTTTGACCCCGCCGGAGCGCCAGCGAGGATCGCCCGGACCTGCCCCCGGACGCTGCAGGAGGACTCCGCAACCCGAGCCACTGCTCCTGGGACGGCTATTGTGAAGCTGGTCGTGACTCTTGAGAACTTCCCTTGGACCTGTGACTTCGGACCCGTGCTCTGTCTATCCCGGGGGACCCCCCTCATTCCCCCGGGAAAAAGGCTTTTCCCTTCTTGCCAAAATAAAGAGGATTCGTTGAGTTTGTATCTATAAGATGGCCTCTTTTACGTGGATGATGCTCAGAGACGCGGCTGAGCCAGAGCCGTTCCAGGCTTGGGACCTTAGGGTGTCCATCTGTGAAATGGCATTTTGGGAGAGACCTGCATAACCTGACCTTTAGGTTGACCCAGCACCCGAAAACAGAATTATTTAGTCATACTGCACCTCTCTTATTTTTTAAAAAAATATATTTTATTGAAAAAATTTTTTTTTAGAGAGGGAGAAGGATAGAGAGTCAGAAACATTGATAAGAGAGAAACCAATCAGCTGCCTCCCGCACAGCCCCCCATTGGGGACGTGCCCACAACCAAGGTATAATACCCTTGACCGGAATCGAACCCGGGACCCCCCCAGTCCGGAGGCCAGGGCCTCTCTTATTTTTACCTTGTCTTCCACAGGCAGAGGTAGAGGCGCCCTCCAGTGGCAGATACTTGGCTCAGGCATCTACACCCCGAGTTTGGGTTACAATTTTAGCATTGCGCATGTGTAGTTCTCTCTTCTTCACAGGCCCAGACGACCTAGGCTGCGCATGCGTCCGGGCACGAATGGGCGGGGAAGTTTCCGGAAGTCTCCTTTGTGGAGGGTAGGGCTCGGTGTTTCCGCAGTCCTCCCACGGCCGCTCTGACCTTAGGCTCCTCGACTTCTCGCCTCCTCTCCCAACCCCCCAGGCCTCCCACGGCGGCCGCTCGGCCCCGCCCCCTCGCCCACGCAGCGACCGGCCCGGGGCCGCTCTGGCCGGAGAGTCCCCTCGTCTCTTTGATCTGGCCTCTCCGGCTCCGGAGGGAGGCGCGGGTGGGTGAGCCCGGGAGTGAGCCTTGCGTTCCAGGCCGGAGCCCGTGAGGACGTGCTCCGCCCCCGCCTGGAGTCCCTCCCGGCCGGCCCGGCCCGCACCCTCTATGGAGGCCCTCATCCGGGCTGTAGGGCCCCTCGCCTCATGAGGACCCATGCATTTCTAAGGTCCGTGTTGGCCTGCAGCTGTCCGCGCCTGTAATTGCTGGACATCGTGTATGGGGTCAGCCAGCCTATGGGGCCCTGTGTCTATAAGGGACTCCCACGGTCCCTAGGGGCCGGCCCTGTCCATAGCAACCCCATTTACAGGACCTATCATGGGTCTATAGGATCCACCTTTCGACTCCCAGAGCCCGTCAACAGAGGCAGTTCCCTTCACGGGAACGGGGACTCCTGGGCCTCCCCGGTCTACCAGGCCATGTCCCGTCCATAGAGGTCGCATTTTCAGGGCCTCGCATCGGCGGAGGGTCCGTGCCATCGGTAAGGGTCAGTGCTGGAGCGGCGATGGCCCTGGTTGGGGCTCTGGCCACCGCGCTGGCTCTGTGTTTGGCCACGCTGGGGCCGATGTCCCCTGGGGCCCGGGCGGGGGACTGCAAGGGGCAGCGGCAAGTGCTGCAGGAGGCCCCAGGCTTCGTGACGGATGGTGCGGGCAACTACAGCGTCAATGGCAATTGCGAGTGGCTCATCGAGGGTGAGTGGGGCAGTGCGGGTCACACACCCAATCATTTGCTAATTCATTCATTTGCAAACTCGTTCATCCATTCACCACATTCTGAGAGTCCTTTTTGGTGCTAGGCCCTTTGCTCTAAAAAGCAGCCCACCTGTGCCCTGCCCTGCAAGGCCTTGAACCTGGTGGGGGAGTTGTACCCAGACTCAGATGGACAGTTACAAGCGAGGGGCATCCATATGAGTATTCTGAGTAATGGTTAGAAACTCGGGCTCTGAGCCCAACCATCTTGCTTCAAATTTCGGTTCCACTGATAACTAGTTTTGTAAATTTGGGAAGGTTGTTTCTTTTTCTGAGATTCAGCTTCTCCTCCCCCAAGTGGGGATAATAATAGTACTTTGTACTGCTCTGCTCCCTCATAGGGTTGTTGGAATGAAATGAGAACAGGTTTTTAACATGCCTGGCAAGTAGTAAATGCTCAGTACGTGATACTAGGATTATTACTACTGTCATTTTAAAAGCATCAATAAAAAGCATTTTTTTCAATCATTCATGGGCCAGATACTATATTTGCTAAGGAGATATAGAGAGACCAAGGCAGTCCCAGAAGTCCCTGATACTTGAGGCTTGGGATCCAGTGGGGGAGACAAACACATTACTAGTCAGTCCAGAGTAGTTGGTACTGTGATGGAGGAACCCCACCCCTAGAGGAGGTGCCTGGCCTGGGGACCAGGGAGAGCAGAGGGCTTCCTAGAGGAGATGTCTGAGCTGAGAACTGAAGGGCCAATAGGAATCAGTCAGGAGGAGGGGGAGGAGGAGGAGGAAGAGCTGTCTAGGAAGAGGGAACAGCCTGTGCAAGGGCCCCAGCCCTATCCTCATGGGCTTCCAGTCCAGTGGGGGGAACAAACTTACCCCCAAGGAGAGGGAAGCCCAGAGAAAATGTCTGACTTAGTTTGGGCAGTAGCTGAGACCAGAGGCATGTGTAGGAGGGAGCATAAGGGCATTCCAGGCAAGGAGAACAGCCCATACAAAGGCCTGGATGCAGGAGAGTATGCTGCTTTTGAGGAGGTAGAAATGCAGAATACAAGACAAATCATGAGCCAGAAGCTGAGGATTGGGGGAGGCAGAGGGTGTAGGACCTTGTGAACTGTGTCCTTAGGGCAATGGGGAGGTGGAAGAGAAGTCCAGGGAGGCTTACCGTGGTGTGGATGTAGGGGCTGGCCTCCCAGGAGAGGTGGGGATCCCCCAGAGGAGGTCCTGGGCAAAGGCCAGAGGTGCGACAGGGCCTGGGTCCTGCAGGGCCTCCTTTTGTGGACTGTGGAGCTTGGTCTTTACACTGGGGCACTGGGGAGTCATGGAGGGGTTTTCTTTTCTTTTTTTAAAAATATGTATTGATTTCAGAGAGGAAGGGAGAGGGAGAGAGAAATATCAATGATGAGAGAGAACCACTACTTACAACCTGGGCATGTGCCATTGACTGGAAGGGAACCTGGGACCCTGTAGTCTATAGCCTATGCCTATCCACCGAGCCACACCTGCTAGGTCCATGCGAACTCGTTCATTATTTTGTCTTTTGTGTATTTCCTCATTCTCTCATTTTCAACTGGGGAAGGACATGATCTAATTTATGTTTTATATGTTATTTACCTGTGGTTGTTGTGTGGGGTATGGATGAAGCATGTTTCTTGGGCATGTGTGTCTGTCCCTAGCTTTGGGGACTATTTCTGTTTTGTGTGTGTGTGCGTGTGTGTGTGTGTGTGTGTGTGTGTGAACGGAATGAGAAGTATGTGTATGTTTTGGGGGTATATGACATCTTCTGGTCTTAAAGAGCTCCAGCCTGTTTGGGGACAGAGTGAGCCCAGATCCGAGACAGAAGGAGTTACAGGATTGGGTAGAGGAGCCTGTAAGGGAGTGAGGACACTGCTGAGGATCAGAGAGGAGAAGCCATGGAGCAGGGTTCTGAAGCATGCATAGGAGTTTACTGGATAAGAAAAGGGAGCAGCCTCTATGAAGACAAAGAAGAGGTTGGTGTCTTAGGAGCAACATATAGGTTTTTCTGGTCTGGCTGGACTGTTAGCTGAAAGGTGAGGAGGGCACCAGAAGCAGGGGAAGAAGGGCCTTGAGTGGCACCCAGACCAGCTTGGCTTTGCTCTTGGGATTGCAGGGGAGCTATAGAAGGATTTTGAGTGGGCGTGGGACTTGGCTCTCAAGCCAGGTGGGGGCACACTGGGAACCTGGTGTGGATGTGGATGTAGGGGCTGGCCTAGGAGAAGATGAGTTCTGACTTGGGCAGGAACTAAGGAGGTGGAGCGGTGGGGAGAGCACTGAGAGATGTTTGTGAAGTTTCACCAATGAGGCTTGGGGACCAACTGGCTGGATGTTGGGGTAGGGAGGAGTCTGGGAGACTTTCAGATCCCCTTTGATCTCTCATTCTTCCCCAAGCCTATCACCTCTGAAACCAACATATTCCCCTAGCTATTAAAGAAATAAGCCACATTTTATTGTGCAGTCCTCATGAATAAGAGGCTTTTGCTTTTGAAAAGCAAGGGGTTTTGTGGTTGGGTCTCTTCTAGATGGCATGGGAGTTGGGCCCATGTTGGGTGGAAACAGGAGACCTTGAACTTATGGAGGAAGTTGGGGAAGGCAGATGGTAAGCCTGCCTCTGGCAGACACTTAACAACGATGTACTTGTTTTGAGCTTTATAGTTTGGTTGAGGCTGGTAAAGACTGGGAGTTCTTGTCTGGTCTGGCTGAATGGTTTGCGTTCCCCAGACCATGGCTCGGGCTCTGTTGTGATGTTCTCCGGGGCTCTGGTCATTGCCTGAGGAGAGCTGCCAACTTCATTATTTTGTCTTTTGTGCATTTCCTCATTATCTCATCCAGCATTTCCCAAGCCCTTGCTCAGTGCTAGGCTCTGTGCTGGGTACTATCAGGGAGGGAACCCAAAATGAGTTAGGTCCAGGCCCTGCCCTGTGGGCCTCCTCGGCTGCAGGGGAGACAGACCTGGTTACAGATGGTCCTGGCCCAGGAGAATGAGGTTATAATGGGAAGTGAGAGCCCTTAAGAGGGGTTCCTAATCCAGCCAAGGGGTATCAGGGAAGGCTTTCTGGAGGAGAGGCGGAAACTTGCAGGCAGGCAGGGAGAATGTGCTTCAGGTAGAGGGAGAAGCATGTGCAAAGACCCAGCACCTGGTGGAGCTGCAAGCGGTGGGGTGATGTGAGACCAGGTGAGACTTCAGATGTCAGGTTAGAGAGCTGGATTTTCCCCTGAGAATGGTGGGAGCCATGGAGTGCTTTTGAGCAGGGAAGGGCCAGGGCCAGATGTTGAGTTGGGAAGATCACTCAGAGATCCATGTCAGGGCAAGATGGAAGGCTGAGAGGCTAGGAAGGAGACTGATCAGTGGTTCCGGTGAGACACAAGGCCTGGACTGGCACATTAGAGTCACCATTTCGAATCTCCACTCTAGCCTTAGTGGGTGGGGAAACTTATTCCCATTTTACATGCAGGAAACTGAGGCTCAGAGAGCCCATGGCACTGGCCCAAGATCACACAGTGAGTACTCCGTGAACATCTCCAGTATGCAGCTGGCTCTTCCCACAGGCATGGTGGAAGGGGCTGGCCCAGGGTCTTCCAGCAGGTCTGGAACAGAGCTGGAGCCCAAGTCTAGTTTCCCCAACCCAGAAGACTTCCATGAGCTCTTAGTGTGCAATGTGGGATGAGAACCTTCTGGAACCAGGACCTGGGAGAGCAAGAATCTTGACAGCACTAGAAGCAGCAGCACTTTTATCAGCCCTTTATCTGCAGTATCGCCTCTCATGCAGGCACAGTCGTGTCAGCTGGGGCTGCGGTCATCTGAGCACTCACTCACCTGGGCTGGACATCCAGGAATCCTGCTCAAGGCAGTCAGCTGAAAACTCAGCTGGGGTTGTCAGCTGGGATGTGTGGCTTTGGCTTTTTAAAGTATGATAGCTATTAATATGTTCTGAGAAGGAGCATTCTATACCGCTCAGGCAAAACTGCAAAGCTTCCTCTGAGCTAGCCTCAGAAGACCCAGAATGCCACTTTGGCTGCTTTGTTGGTCAAACTAGGCCCTGAGGCTCTCCAGGGAAAAAGGACAGGCCTCAGCCTTCACCTCTCAATGGGAGGACTGGCCACAGTACCATTATGTCCTCACTTTACAGATGAAGAAACCTATCCAGAGAGGTTCGGTGGCCTGCTCAAGGTCACATAGCTAGTAACAAGTAAGTGGCAGAGCCAAGATTTGAGTCCCGGCAATCTGGTTGGAGTCTATGCCCTTAGGTACCAGGAACAGAGAGGAGACCCTGGGTGGAGCTGGGGAGGGCTGGTGCACTAAGGGTCAGCCTGTGTCCAAGGGGAAGGAATCCGCCTCTTCCCCAGGAACTCTATTGGGTCTGGAACTGGGAATGTTCACAGAGGCCCCTTTCCATCTGGGAGTGTGCCCTCTGCTTGGGCCTGGCCAGGCGGGGGTGTGTCTGAAGCTCAAGAGTAAATGAGTGTGGAATCTAATGAACAAAATAAACTGACCCAGAGAAATAGAAGCATAATAACATGGACTACAGGATCTCAGAGGGAAGGTGGGGAGTGAGGGTGGGTAGGAAGAGAGCAACCAAAGAACTTGTATGCATATATGCATAGCCCATGAACACAGACAATAGGGTGGTGAAGGCCTGGGACAGGCTAGAAGGGATGGGGGGGAGGGGAGAGGAGAGAGGATATATGTAACACTTTCAATAAGTTTAAAAAAAAAAAAATTAGCCGAGCCTGCATGGCTCAGTGGTTAAGCATCGACCTATGAACCAGATCACAGTTCGATTCCCGGTCAGGGCACATGCCTGGGTTGTGAGCTCAATTCCATCAGAGTGGCTGTGGGAGGCAGCGATCAATGTTTCATTCTCACATGGATGTTTTTCTCTCTCACCCATCCCCTTTAAAATCAATAAAAACATATCTAAAAAAGCCCAGCCAGCATGGCTCAGTGGTAGAGTGTCGATCTATGAACCAGAGGTCACGGTTTGATTCCCGGTCAGGGAACATGGCCGGGTTGCAGGTTCCATCCCCAGTGTAGGGTGTGCAGGAGGCAGCTGATCAGTGATTCTCTCTCATTGTTGATGTATCTATCTCTCTTTCCCTCTGCACTTCCTGTCTGAAATAAAAAAATTAAAAAGAAGAAGAAGAAGAGTAAATGGGAACTGCTCTGTTGGTCACTGACATGAGCTCCCTCTCTCAGCAGGTCCATTGCCCATCTGATCAGTGAGGGTGGTCAGTCCCGCCTCAGGAGTCCTTTCCAGGGCTGATACTGCAATTCCTTATCTGAACTGTGACCTCTCTGGGCTATGAGACCAGGAGCCTCTCAAAGACCGGGCCCAGATCGGACTTGTCTTTGGGTCACCTCATTATGCAGAGTGGGGTTTGGTCTTTGTGGTCTGCATGGAGGTGTGCGGAGAGGGTTCACATCTGAGCCTGGCCTTTCTGTTTCACCACCCAGCACCCAGTCCCCAGCACCGGATCCTGCTGGACTTCCTTTTCCTTGACACGGAGTGCACGTATGACTACCTGTTCGTGTATGACGGTGACTCCCCCCGAGGGCCCCTGCTTGCCAGTCTGAGTGGGAGCACCCGACCCCCACCCATCGAGGCTTCCTCTGGCAAGGTTGGTGGGGCTGGGCCGTGGGCTGTGGCTGGAGGATCTCAGTGCAGTGTGGGGAAAGTGGGTAGATGCACACATGGAGGGACAGAGAGACGGCGGCGGAAGGGGCAGCAGGCAGAAAGACAGAGGGACAGAAAAGGTGGAGAGAGACAAAGAAAGGAGGTGGGGACCTCCAGGGGGCAGGAGTGGACCCTGAGCCCTGCCCCCTTATGCCTACAGATGCTGCTGCACCTCTTCAGCGATGCCAACTACAACCTGCTGGGCTTCAATGCCTCCTTCCGCTTCTCCCTTTGCCCTGGGGGCTGCCGCAACCATGGGCAGTGCCGGTCCCCGGGGGTGTGTGCCTGCGAGCCAGGTTGGGGGGGCCCTGACTGTGGCCTGCAGGAGTGTTCAGCCTACTGTGGCAGCCATGGCACCTGTGCCTCGGTGAGCCTGTCCCCCCGGGCCCTGACCTGTGAGCACACCTGCTGCTCCCCTTTCCTTATCTGACTGTCCTTGTCTGACTCCCCCTGCTACTCCAACCTCTGCCATGACCCTGACCCCACACCAGCGACCCTGCTCTCATCCACAGTACTGCCCTCTCATTCCGGATTTCACCCTCCCTGCTACTCCAACCCCACCCCACCTTCACCTGGGGCACCTCATCTGCCCAAGCCCACTTCTGTTCTCATCTAAAACTCACCTCTCACCTTGCTTCCTCTTGCCAGGCCTGACTCCATCCACCCACCCATCCACTCAACCTGGCATTGTTCCCCCAGCCATGACTTTGACTTTCAACCACTGACTTTGGCCCAAGACTTGCATATCCATCTTTGGGACTGGATCACGCCTTGAGCCCTACCTTTTTGACTTCCCCAGATCTGAGCTCTTGTAGCTCAGACATTGACCTCACCGTCTTTGCTCGCCCATCTCTTTTCTTTCTTTCTGTCCTCATTTTTCCCTCTGGGTCTTTCTCCTTTTCTCTTGGTCTGTCTGCTTTTCCCCACCTCTCTGCCTCTTCTGGTTGTATCTCTGTCCCTTTTTCCCACTGTCTATTGATCTGTCTCCTTCCTGCCTCTGTCTCTCTCCCTTTGCTTATCTGACTCTTTATTTTACCCCATTCTCTCCTTTCCTGTTCACCTCTCTCCTTCTCCCTTTCTGCTCCACGTCTCTCACTCTGATTCTGGCTCTCTTCCCTGTCTCCCTGCCTCTCTCTCTATCCCCTGCCTTTGTGTCTCCTTCCCCATAGCCCCTGGGACCGTGCCGCTGTGAGCCTGGCTTTCTGGGACGTGCCTGTGACCTGCACCTGTGGGAGAACCAGGGGGCTGGCTGGTGGCACAATGTGAGTGCCGGGGACCCTGCCTTCCCTGCCCGTGTCGGGGCAGCCGGTGCCTTCCTGTCCCCACCAGGGCTGTTGGCTGTGTTTGGAGGTGAGCAAATGGGGTGTGTGTCCTGGGGCTGGAGGCCTGACAGCCTGTGGCCAGGACTTGAGACCATCCACCTTTCACAGGCCAGGACCTCAACAGCGCCCTGGGTGACCTCGTGCTGTATAACTTCTCTGCCAACACCTGGGAGCGCTGGGACCTGAGCCCTGCCCCGGTATGGACCCCACCTCTGCCCTGCCTGGAGGCGCCTGCCCCTCTGTCAGTACCAGCCAGGGCCTCCCTGAGCCTCCTCTTCACCCTACAGTCCCCTAGCCTGCAGCGTGATAGGGGAACACCTATTCCTTTGTTTCTGCTTTCTAGCTCAGATTTTTTTTTTTTTTTTTTTTTTTGTCTTTCTGTGTGCTTTGTCTCTCTCCTGGCCCATTTCTCTGACTCAATTCTTGTGTCTCCTCCTCTCTGGACTGTATCTCTATTTCTCTGTCATTTCTCCTTCTATTTCTGTCTCCCTGGCTCTGCCTTCCTTATTGTGTTTCTCTGTTTCTCCTCTGCTTGTATTCACATGTGTCTGTCATTATGGGTCTGTCTCTCTTCTGTCTTTGCATTCTCTTTGTCTCACCACCTGTCTTTCTCTCTGTGCCTATCTTTGTCTCTGCATCTCTGTGTCTGTGTCTGGCTCTTCCTGTTATTCTGTGTGTCACCATCTGTTTTCCTCTCCATCTCTGTCTCCTCGTTTCTTCCTCACAGGCTGCCCGTCACTCCCATGTGGCTGTGGCCTGGGCCGGCTCCCTGGTGTTGATGGGCGGTGAGCTGGCTGACGGCTCCCTCACTAGCGACGTGTGGGCCTTTAGCCCGCTGGGCGGGGGCCACTGGGAGCAACTGGCACCACCTGCTTCTGGTTCCGCGGGGCCGCCCGGCCTGGCAGGTCACGCAGCTGCCTTAGTGGACAACGTCTGGCTCTATGTGTCTGGTGGCCGCACCCAGCACGACCTCTTCTCCTCCGGCCTCTTCCGTTTCCGCCTTGACAGCGCCAGTGGGGGCTATTGGGAGCAGGTGGTTCCGGCTGGTGGGCGGCCCCCTGCCGCCACCGGCCACTCCATGGTGTTTCACGCCCCATCTCGAGCCCTGCTGGTTCATGGTGGACACCGGCCCTCCACTGCCCGGTGAGTAACCTGCCCCTCAACCTCTGCTCTGCAGGGCCAGGCCTGGCCCAGAACCTGGGCCTTTTGTCTTTAGTGGGCTTTGCCTACCGATGGAGCCCTGTAGGCATTCAGTCACTCCTTCCTTCATTGGTTCACTCATTCACGCACCACTCAATCTCTTGGTCACTTGCTTAAATAGACCAGACATCCCGCTTTTGGCGGTACAGTCCCAATTTTGTTAGACACCGCAGGATGCGGGACAAATTGTTTAAAATTGGGACTGTCCCGCCAAAAGCGGGACATCTGGTCACCTTACACTTGCTTCCCCACACACTCCCACTGTCCACCCATCCCACCAGCCCCTGCTTGGTGTCCAGCTCTGGCTAGATTATGCAGGACCCAGATATAAGTCCAACCTGGGTTCTGCCAATAGGAGCTTCTGGTTCTGATGGGACTTAAACCCATTTACTGCCGGTCTCAACCCTGAGGGATTATGTACCTTTAACAGCCCAGAGGCGGGACAGAGGCCTCTCCTGCCCTGAGCCCTTCCTCTGCCTCCCTCACAGGTTCTCTGTGCGAGTGAACTCCACGGAGCTCTTCCATGTGGACCGGCGAGTATGGACCACCCTGAAGGGCCGGGATGGGCTGCAGGGCCCACGGGAGCGGGCCTTCCACACGGCCAGTGTCCTGGGCAACTACATGGTGGTCTATGGTGAGGAGGCTTCCCGCCTATCTGCTTGCTGGGGTCCAAAGCAGCCCTGAGCTGAGGCTCCTTGCGCGGTGCCCCACCTCCCCCAGCCTTGCCAGCTGTGCCCCTTTCCTTCTTCCCCAGGAGGCAATGTGCACACCCATTACCAGGAGGAAAAGTGCTATGAGGATGGCATCTTCTTCTACCACCTGGGCTGCCATCAGTGGGTGTCAGGGGCTGAGCTTGCCCCGCCAGGAACGCCTGAGGGTGAGTGACCCCTCTGTTTCCTGAGGGGCTCCTGAAGGTCACACTTCCCCCCACAGTGAATCTGGGCTTTGGGCAAGAGCCACCTCGGTCCTTGTCGGGGTGAGCCAGATAAGTTATTTGAGCCTGCTCAGGGGGCAAGCCTGCACTGCAGACAGGACCAGGGCATTGTTGTCATGGAGATGGGAGGCAGTTACAGCAGCATCAGACCTAGGTTCCAGTTCAGGTTTGCCAGTTTCCAGAGGGAAATGCCCGTGAAGAGGTAACTTTTCCAGGGTCACACAGTGGGCAAGGGCAAAACCAAGATGGCTGGCCCTAAAGAACTACCTGTACAAAAGCCATAATTAAAGAGGGTGGGAGAATCTTTCGAATGCTTTAGATCAGGTTCCTTCCTCACAAAGGGGCATATCGTTTCAGGGGACTACAGACTTCCCAGAGGCCTGTCTGTTCTCCCCACTCCGCTGAACAGAAGAGCAAGGACAGAGGAAGGGTGGGCACTGGGGAAAGGTCCTCAAGGAGCTTTGTGTAGCCATCAGGGGTAAAGCCTGGGCCTGGCATTGAGATCTCCCACCCAGGATTCCTCTGCCTGTCCCTATCCCTTTCCCTCTTTTAGGCTCCTTTACTGGGCAGGCGAGAATGTGAGGTTTTTGCAAGTCTCTTCCTCTTCTTTTTTGTAAATATATATTTTTAATTGATTTTTTACAGAGAGGGATAGTTAGAAACATCGATGAGAGAGAATCATTGATCAGCTGCCTCTTGCACACCCCCTTACTGGGGATGTGCTCGCAATCAAGGTACATGCCCTTGACCGGAATCGAACCTGGGACCCTTGAGTCCGCAGGCCGATGCTCTATCCACTGAGCCAAACCGGTTTCAGCAAGTCTCTTCCTCTTCTGTAGTTTGTGATTTCCTGGACCAAGACCCAGGTGCTTACAGAGCATTCAGGTTCAGTAAGAGGGTGTGGGAGTCACCAATCACTAACCACTTACCTGTTGGTCAGGACTCTTGGTTGTGACAGAAATCTAACCCAACTAGCTTAAGCATAAAGGAGAATTTCTTGGCTAACTTGAGTGAGAACTCTTGCCAGCTTCAGGTTGGACTGGATCCAGGTGCTCACATAATGGCATTAGCCACTTCTCTCTCCAGTTCTTGGCTGAGTTTACTTCAGACTCCAGCCAGCTTTCCTTTTGTAGATGGTCACCATCTACTTGGATGATATTTTACCCTTTTAAAATGCTCAGAGGTTGTACTGCCAGTGTGGCTAAGTTTGTTGAGTGTTTCCCATGTGCTGAGAGGTGAAGATTTGATTCCCAGTCCGGGCACATGCCCAGGTTGCAGGCTAGATCCCCAGGTAGGGGGCATGCAGGAGGCAGCCAATCAATATTTCTTTCTCAACCATGTTTCTCTCCTGTTCCTTTCTTTTTTTTATTTTTTTATTTTTTTAAATAGATCTTTATTGTTCATATTATTACAAATGTTCCTCATCCCCCCCCCCCCCATTACTCCCCTCCACCAGGTTCCCACCCCACCCTCTGCCCTTTCCCCACCTCCCATTGTCCTCATCCATAGGTACACAGTTTATGTTCATCTCCTGTTCCTTTCTAAAATTAATAAAAGAAAAAAAAAATTCCCAGACGGAAGAGAATGTTTCCCCCCCAAGAATTGTAGGAATTGGCTCAGTGGACAGAGCGTTGGTCTACGGACTGAGAGGTCCTAGGTTTGATTCTGGTCAAGGGCATGTACCTTGGTTGCGGCACATTCCCAGTAGGGGATGTACAGGAAGCAGCTGATCAATGTTTCTCTTTCATCGATGTTTCTAACTATCCCTCTCTCTTCCTCTCTGTAAAAAAAAAAAATCAATAAAATATATATATATATATATATATATATATATATATATATATATATATATAAAAGAATTGTAGGAATTGAGTTCCATCCTGAACTAATCACTGACACTGACAAGCCTGGACTAAAGCCCCACTTTTGCCCGAAGCAGGTTTAGCTTGACTTGAACCTTGTGGACTGGGAGGGGGAGAAGGTTGTTTTCTGGGGGAAAATCGGAGGCTGTCACCACAAGAGAGGCCATTGCCAGGCAGATTCCCTAAAGGCAGAGAACACAGAATCAGAGAGACAGAGTTTATTGCCCAAGGTTACACTGCTAGTTAGTAGTTGATCCATGATTTAAACCCAAGTAAAAGTTAGACCCAGGATTTGAACCCAAGTTTTCTTTTACTTTTTAAAAAATATATTTTTATTGATTTCAGAGAGGAAGGAAGAGGAAGAGAAAGATAGAAACATTAATGAATAGAGATAATAATTGATCGGCTGCCTCCTGTATGCCCTCTACTGGGGATCAAGTCAGCAACCCAGGCATGTGCCCTTGACAGGAATTGAATTGGGACTCTTTAGTCCGCAGGCTGACGCTCTATCCACTGAGCCAAACCAGCCAGGGCGAACCCAAGTTTTCTGACCCTAGAGATCATACTCTGTCTGAAAGGTGGCTTGTGTAGGGCACGGGAGGCAGAGGAGAGAAAGGATTGGAGCTGGTTCAGGACCAGGCAGGCTGGGTGGGTTTCAGTGGGCAGATCGTTAGAAGCAGGAGCTCGGAGACTGAGCTGAGGCTTATGGGAGCCAGGTGTAGCCCTCTGGGCAGGGGAGCCATGCCGGAGGGAGGGGGATTGGGGATCCCATGTCCTTGGAGGGGTCTGTATTCTTCTAGGCCGAGCAGCACCTCCCAGTGGACGGTATTCACATGTGGCGGCTGTGCTTGGTGGCAGTGTCCTGTTGGTGGCTGGTGGGTACAGTGGCCGGCCCCGTGGGGATTTGATGGCCTACAAGGTGCCCCCCTTTGTGTTCCAGGCGCCTGCCCCCGACGTGAGTATTGGGGTGATAGGGAGAGGGGGATGGGAGGAGGTGGCATGATTCCCACAGATGAGAAAGTTGGAAGTCCTTGGGATACGTAGTGGGAGTCCCTAGGTCCATAAGAGGAAGGATGTTGGCTCCCAGGTTCGGGAGAGGAGGTATGGTTCTTGGCACTGGAAGAGGATTGGACTGGGATCTTCAAGGTGCCGAGAGGTCAGGGTTCCCTGGGATAATCAAAATGAGTGGGGATATAGGAACAGGCCCCTGTCTGAGGAGCCCCTTCCTCCACCCCATCTCTCTGCAGTATCATTTGGACTATTGTTCCATGTACACGGACCACAGTGTCTGCTCTCGAGACCCGGAATGCAGTTGGTGTCAGGGGTCCTGCCAAGCCGCACTGCCTCCTGGGACCCCCTCGGGGGCTGTGAGTAGCTGTCCTCACTTCTCCTACTCCCCTTCCCACAGAGCCAGCCCTCAGTGTCTCCCTCTGTGAAACCAAGTGAAGAAGGACCCTCCACACTCACACGGGAGACTTGTTTCACATCTAAAATCACCATCCCCCATTCCTGATTGCTGACCCCTAAACTTTGACCCTTTCCCCAGTCCTTTTGAACTTATCTGTACCCATATTCCCAGGCCCTGTCCTCTTCAACTTTCTCCATTCTAATTGGCTTTCAGTTCCCGTCTCCAATTTCCTGATCCATTCTACTCCAAAACTCCTCAATCCATAGCCCTTTCCGGATCTCATAAGCCCCGGTGAACAAGGACTCCTGTCCCCTCCTTTCCTGCAGTGTCTGGCTGCCAGCTGCCTGGGCCTGGGGCGCCTCCTGGCTGACTGCCAGGCCTGCCTGGCCTTCAGCAGCCCTGCAGCTCCTCCCCGGGGACCTGGTGCCCTGGGCTGGTGCGTGCACAATGAGAGCTGCCTCCCTCGGCCTGGTGAGTGACCTGTGGAAGTGTGGGAGGGGGCAGTGCTGCACCCCACACTGACCCTCCTCCTGTCCTTACAGAGCAGGCCCACTGCCGAGGAGAGCAGATCTCAGGCACCGTGGGCTGGTGGGGGCCTGCACCTGTCTTCGTCACATCCTTGGAGGCCTGTGTCACCCAGAGCTTCCTGCCTGGCCTGCACCTCCTCACCTTCCAACAGCCACCCAACGCCTCTCAGCCTGACAAGGTAGGGAGCTGGGGATGGAGTGTTGAAGGGCTGGTCCTGGGGTTTTTGTTTTCCAAATAGATCTTTACCACTTATATGTTTATATTCAAGGGTTTGATTTTCCTTAATAGTTAAAAACATTTAAGAAATTTTTTAAAATTGTGGTATCCCTGGCCCATGTGACTAAGTGGCCTGAGCATTGTCCCATGCACCAACAGGCCCAGGTTGTGGGCTGCATCCCCATCAGTGTAGGTGCGGGAGACAGCTGATCAATGTTTCACTCTCACATCGATGTTTTTTTCCTCTCTTCCTCTCTAAAACCAATAAAAACGTATTTTAAAAAGCCTTGTTGGTGTGGCTCAATGGTAGAGCATTGACTTATGAACCAGGAGGTCATGATTTGATTCCAGCTAGGGCATAAATGTGACTTTTAATCATTTTCCTTTCTTGCACAAAAAGTAGTATATTATCCACACTCTACTAGCAATCCTTTTTTTCTTAATACATCCCAACGATCTTTCCATTAGAGAACTTAGGAAACATTCTCATTATCTTTATAGCTGCATAATATTCCATTTGTTTTCCTACACCTGGTACTGTTGTTTATTTAAACAGTCTCTCATAATGAACACTTGACCTATTCCATTCATTTGCAATTACAAAAACACATACTTACCAAAAAATCATATCTGTCACTTGGAATGTTTTATCTGGAATCTTATTATTATTATTATTAATTATTATTATTTAATCCTCACCTGACGACATGCTGAGAGACAGAGAGAGAAAGAGAGGGGGGGGGGGAGGGAGAGAGAAACAGAGAAATATTGATTGGTTGCCTTCCTTACATGCTCTGACTGGGAATTGAACCCACAACCTTTGGTTGAGCACAAGATGCTCAGCCAACTGATGCACACCAGCCAGGGCTGGAATCTTCTTTCTTATTTTTTTTTATTAACTTATTTTAAAGTATATTTTTATTGATTTCAAAGAGGGAAGGAGAGGGAGAGAGAGATAGAAACATTAATGATGAGAGAGAATCATTGATCTGCTGCCTCTTGCATGCCCCTTACTAGGGATGGAGCTTGCAACCTGGGCATGTGCCTCCAACCAGAATCAAACATGGGACCCTTTAGTCCATAGGCCAACACTCCATCCATGGAGTGTTGGCCTATGGAACCACTCCATAGGGCTGGAATCTTCTTTTAAAAAAACACACCTTGTGTACTTGTTGATTATGTAGCAGAGGATAAGCTACATTGAGGTCCAGAGGTTCTGAGCACAGGGGCTTCTGTCCCCATGGAGTTGGGTGCGACACCCCCCAGGCATGTAGGCGTGTTCACTAACCTGGAGGTTTTCCATACCCTGTAGTTAAGGGATTTTATTTATTTATTTTGTCATCTAGACTCCTGAGGGCTTAGGTGGAAAGGTGGGGAATTAGGGAAGAGGATGTTGTTCGTTCTCTGAGTTGGCGTCCTGACTCTTAGTTACTACCCCTGGTGAGCAGCCTCCCCTGCCCTGGCCTCAGTTTCATTCCATGGAATTGGGAAGGAGGTTGAGTTGCCTGATCCTTTCTGGCTCTCATGTGGCCTGAGAGGTGTGGGACTGTGGGCCACGCAAAGAGACACTCATTCATACCCTTCCCCGCTGGCACAGGTCTTGATTGTCCGCAGCACAACCATCACCCTGACACCCAGTCCAGAGACCGACGTATCACTGGTCTATCGTGGCTTCATCCACCCACTGCTTCCGGGAGGGCCCGGCGGGCCAGGGGCTGAGGACGTGGCTGTGTGGGCCCGGGCCCAGCGTCTACACGTCCTGGCCCGGATGGCCCGTGGCCCTGACCCAGAGAGCATGGTGAGGGCGCCTCGGACACTCAGAGGGTTGTTTGTGGTCCATACGGGGGAGGGGATGTGTGGTGCAGGGAAGACTGGGGAGGAGATGCATCCTTAGTGGAGAGAGGGCCACGAGGTGTTCAATTGTAAACAGAGTTTGGGAAATTTTGAAGAGGGTGGGGAAGGTCTGTCTTACCAAGTCAGGTTCCCCTGAGGAGGAGGGTCCCTGGTGCATTTGGAGGCACTTGGAGGTTCTCGGATCTAAGGAGCCCTGAGGCACTCCTCTTTCCAGGAAGAGGTGGCTGCGAGGTGGGTTTGAAGCTCCCAGAGGTTTCAGAGATGGGGGCTGTGGCGTCCTGAGGCCCTGTCTGTCCTCTCCCTACTGCAGGAGGAAGTGGGGCGCTGGGTGGCGCAGCAGGAGAAAGAGATAAGGCGGCTACAGCGCCCAGGATCTGCTCGTCTCTTCCCACTGCCTGGCCGGGGCCACAAATATGCGGTGGAGATCCGGGGCCAGCTCAATGGCTCGGCAGGCCCAGGGCACAGCGAGCTCACACTGCTGTGGGACCGGACTGGTGTGCCAGGTGGCAGTGTGAGTGCCCAGACGCCTGATCCTCTGGGATTTCTGAACCCCAGACCACAAACCTTGGCTTTTCAACTCTGGACTCACCTTGCACCCTCCAGACTCCACTCCCTGACCCCCAGACCCTGACCTGACCTGATAGTCTGACCCCTGCCCACATCTGTACCTCTTCCCTGACCCCACTGCCCCTGACTCTGCCCTCCATATTTTTACTTCTAATCTCTAGAATGTTTCAAATACTGATCCTCTTTTGTCTGCTAATGGCCCAAATTCTGACTTTGTACATGCCTGACTTCTCAATATTGTCTCTGGACACTTAAGTCTTTAGCTCCAAACTCGGATCCCTACTTCAAACCTTGACTCCTGACCCTCACGTTGGAGCATGGGCCCCTGACTTCCTATGCCTCCTCCCCCAGGAGATCTCCTTCTTCTTCCTGGAACCCTACCGCTCCACGGCCTGCGCCTCCTACTCCTCCTGCCTGGGCTGCCTGGCGGACCAGGGCTGCGGCTGGTGCCTGGCCAGCTCCACCTGCCACCTGCGCCAGAGTGGGGCTCACTGCACGGACGGTGGGGCCCGCGGGTCCTTGCTGGTGCTGGTGCCTGCCCTCTGCCCGCTCTGTGAGGAGCATCGTGACTGCCACGCCTGTACCCAGGTTCCTGCCAGGCCCCTGAGGGGGCAGTTTCAAGTGGGAGGCAACCAAAGCTGGGGGCTGGGGAAGAGGTGCCCCCAGGGCTGACATGGGCAGCCAAGGGTCCCTGTGGTGGCAGTATGGGGCCATAGCTGGGGCTGTTGTCTTTGATCGGTAGATAAGAGTCAGGTGGGGGGCAGAGGAGAGGGACTGGAGAGGGGGCTCCTGGCAGTCAGGACTTTAGGGGCCAGAAAACCCCACGGGTCGCCTCTTCTCTAGAGGGGCATTTATCGGCTTAGGCGGCAGAGTCCAGGGTAGGCCTTCAGGCCTGTGACTTCCAATGGTTCAGACCGTGGTTTCCCTGGAGGGTCGTTCCTGGGGAATGGCAAGGGAGCCACAGGGTTCCAGTCGTGCATCCCTCGCTCAGCCAAGTGGAAAGAGTACCTTTCTGTCCCCACCCACTGTCACCCGGGGTCAACAGGGGTCCCAGAAGTGCATGGGATCAGTCAGTGAGGTCAGGGGTGGGGGTGGCCCTTTGCCTACATCTGGCTCCCAAGGATTGCATTTGCCCCCCACTTGGCCTTCCAAGGGATTCTTGGGCTCAAAACGCCAGAGGGTGCTGGGCAGGCAGAAGCCATGGAAGCTGTGGCTGAAGGGGAAAGTGTGGAGAGGCAGGCAGTGGGAGAGGGTAGGGGGCTTGGAGGGTGGTTTTAGGGGTAGGTCAGTGAGGGAAGCAGGGCAATGGGAGCCCAAGGGAGAGGGCTAAGCTGGGCTCTTACTTCTCCAACCCCCAGGACCCCTACTGTGAGTGGCATCAGAGCACCAACCGCAAAGGGGACGCAGCATGCAGCCGGCGAGGCCGGGGTCATGGTGCCCTGAAGAGCCCAGCGGCGTGTCCCCCGCTCTGCAGCCAGTGAGCCCCTCGGGGCCCAGGGAGCAGGTGTGGGGAGTGTGTACACACCAGCCATGGCGTGACCCAATCCTCACTCCTCACTCCCAGGCGCCTGACCTGTGACGACTGCTTGGCCAACTCAAGCCAGTGTGCCTGGTGCCAGTCCACCCACACCTGCTTTCTGTTTGCTGCCTACTTGGCCCGGTACCCGTATGGGGGCTGCCGAGGCTGGGATGACAGGTGCAGTCAGGGTGGGCAGCTGGGCTCATGAGAGGTTGGAGAGGTGGAGGTGGCTGGGCTCTGACACCCTCCACCCCTGCTGCCCTGCAGTGTGCACTCGGAGCCCCGGTGCCGGAGCTGTGACCGCTTCCAGACCTGCCACGAGTGTCTGCAGAGCCATGAGTGCGGCTGGTGCGGCAATGAGGACAACCCCACACTGGGGCGGTGAGCCTGGGCGGGAGGGCAGGTGGGTGGGCAGGATGGGGCGGGCAGCTGTCCACGGCCCTAATTCTAACGGCTGCCCTGTTTCTCTGCCTCTCTGTCTTTTCCTTACCACCGTCTCTGTTTTTCTCCCTCCCCACTTCTCTTAGTTTTTCCCTCTTCTCCCTCTTAACTCTGTCTCTGCTTCTGGAACTTGTTTTCTCTCATTGTCCTTCCTTCCTTCTTCTTGACCTGTTTCTGTCTCTCCTTTCACTGTGTCCCTGTCTCTATCTCGCTTGTCTTTCGCCATCGTTTTTATTTGACTACTCTTGCTTTCCCTCTGATGCTTCCATTTCTCCTTTCTCTCTATATATATTTATACTTCTCTCTCTCTCTCTCTCTCTGATTGGCTTTCTCTCTCCTTGTAACTATTTCCATCTCTTGTTTTTTTATCATCTCCTCCCACTCCACCACCTTCTTCAATCTCCCACCCTCCAGGTGCCTCCAGGGGGACTTCTCAGGGCCCCTTGGTGGGGGTAACTGCTCCCTGTGGGTGGGGGAGGGCCTGGGGCTGTCCGTGGCCCTCCCTGCCCGCTGGGCGTATGCCCGCTGTCCTGACGTGGATGAGTGTCGCCTGGGCCTGGCACGGTGCCACCTGCGGGCGACCTGCCTGAACACGCCCCTCAGCTACGAGTGTCACTGCCAGCGCGGTTACCAGGGTGATGGCATCACATACTGCAATCGCACGTGAGTGGGGCATGGTTTCCATGGAGATGCTGCCCCAGGGCTGGGGTGTGTGGAGATGAGAGGAGGAAGAGATCCTGGTGCTGGAATCCCTCCTATGGAACCAGCATCCCAGGGTGCCTCAGGTTTTTACCTTGCAGACTAGCTCCTCATTAGAGTGGCAGGGTCCCCAGTGTAAAACTACTTACTGTGAGGCAGGTCACCCATGTACTAGTAGTCTTCAGAGTTGCCATAGAGATGGAGGAGAACCAAGTTAAAAGGGGTTTTCATAGAGAACAGATCACTAGTAGTGATGTGTGGTTACTATAGAGACAGGAATTCCCATGTGTGATGGGGTTACCTTGGAGACAAGGCCACCCACATAGTGTAGGACCAATGGAATGGGCAGTAGCTTGTGATGGTGCTGCTCTGGAGATGATGGGGTGGAATGGGATGGCAGGGATGCCTTGGGCACTCTGGGCCTGCCCGCCCTTCCCCCACTCCTGCCACGGCCCCTCAGGTGCCTGGAGGACTGCGGCCATGGTGTGTGCAGTGGACCCCCTGACTTCACCTGTGTGTGTGACCTGGGCTGGACATCGGACCTGCCCCCGCCCACACCTGCCCCGGGGCCCCCCGGCCCCCGCTGCTCCAGAGACTGTGGCTGCAACTTCCACAGCCATTGCCGAAAGCGGGGGCCTGGCTTCTGCGATGAGTGCCAGGGTGAGCTGCCCTCCTCCCAGACACCCCTGGACTGGCCTCCAGGGAGCCTCCTCGGGATTCCAGTTTTCTTTTCTCTGCGTGGGCTTTAGTGTCCCCTCACCCAGCTCGGGGTCCTCCTGCCCACTGCCTGCTCCTGACCCCTGACCTGCTTCAGTGGCACTCATCTCATTGGTGGGGCCTTAGTCCCCACTCCGAGGACTTGCTATTCCTCCAAGTCTGGGCCTTGGTGACCCTCCTTTGAAGCAGCCTGAAGTCAGGGATCAGGTGAGCCAGTTGGCAGGCTCCTTCCACCCTTGTCTCTGACTCTGTCCTGCCTGCGGGGTCTCTACAGACTGGACCTGGGGGGAGCACTGCGAACGGTGCCGGCCCGGCAGCTTTGGCAACGCCACGGGCTCAGGCGGCTGCCGGCCCTGCCAGTGCAACGGGCACGGGGACCCACGCCGCGGCCACTGCGACAACCTCAGCGGGCTCTGCTTCTGCCAGGACCACACCGAAGGTGCCCACTGCCAACTCTGCATCCCTGGCTACTATGGGGACCCCCGGTGAGCCAGGGGCCAAGCAGGGGGGGTAGGGGTAAGGGGCATGTGGGATGAGGCAGGACTGGTCTGACACTGGCTCTTCTCCATCTCCCCAGGGCCGGTGGCTCCTGCTTCCGGGAGTGTGGGGGCCGCGCCCTCCTCACCAACGTGTCCTCAGTGGCACTGGGCTCACGCCGGGTTGGGGGGCTGCTGCCTCCAGGTGGCGGGGCAGTGAGAGCTGGGCCAGGCCTTTCATATTGTGTGTGGGTTGTCTCGGCCACTGAGGTGCTACAGCCCTGTGCTCCTGGGACCCTCTGTCCCCCGCTCACCCTCACCTTCTCCCCCGACAGCAGCACCCCCTGCACGGTGAGCTCCGAGGCACTAGGGTTCAGACCTATGTCTTCCCCACCCAGTTGACTCCTTAGACAGGCCCTGACCCCCATCACCCCATTTTTTTTATCCTTCAAACCCCAAACTCTAGTCCTTCAACCCCCAGCCCGAAGACCTTCCCTCTTGTTCCCTGGATTCCAAGTCTCCAACCCCCAGATCCTCAAACTGCCTTCCTCAATACAGCATGGCAAATATGTGCTGTGTGCTAGCTCTCACAGCTGGTGGTGGCCTCCAGGAGCTGTAGTGAGAAAGGCACCAGGTGAAAGTGTCTGATTGATTAGCCATGTCTGCTGTCAATACAGGAGGGGAATGGTGATCTCCAGGCCACAGTTTGACAGTCTTCCCAGTATGCTCAAACGGCCCACTTCCCTGTCTGATTGTCTCTCCTCCTCCCAGACCCCAAGCATCCCTCTTTCTCATCCTCCTCATCCCCTAATCCTCGCCTCCGCACCCCTCCAGCTGAGCTACGTGCTGGCCTTTGACGGCTTCCCACGCTTCCTGGACACTGGTGTTGTGCAGTCGGACCGGAGCCTCATTGCTGCCTTCTGCGGCCAGCGGCGGGACAGGCCCCTCACTGTGCAGGCCCTATCCGGTATGGGGACTAGGGAGGTGTGGCCTCTGTCCTGGGCTGTGTATCCCTTGTTCCCCTGCATCTTACTGACCAAAGTGGACTTAAGGCCCAGCCGATTCTGCCACTGTCTTGCTGGGTGAGGCAGCCCCTGCCACCTGTGGGTCTCCATGTCTTCATGCGAGGCGAACTGAGTATTGCTGGGCTGCCTCTGGAGGGAAGGGCCAAGATGTGTCTTCGGGCACAGAGGGCTGGTGCGAGGGCCCTGAACATCCCCTCAGCCTCGATTCTCTACCAGGGCTGATTGTGTCCTCCGGGCATGTGGCTGGTGGGCATGTGTGGGGGTGCTACTGGTATCTCACGGATAGAATCCAGAGGTGCTGCTCTATCCTACAATGCACAAGACAGCCTCACACCGAGGCCTCCTCAGCAGGACTGAGGGAAGCCCAGCTCAGGCTGATGGAAATGCACTATTTGTTACCCCTGGCAGTTAAGGGCCCAAGTCTGGAAATGCTTCCTTTCATACTGCAAATCAGAGGGGCTCCAAGGCTGGGAGAGAGGCAACCCAGATCTCTCACAGTGAGCGAAGGATTGAGGGACCCCTCGTTTTGTTTAACTCAACAAGTATTTACGGAGCACTGCAGAGAGCCAGGCCTGAGCTAGTGGCGAAGAGTGCAGCAGTGAACAAGGGCACAGTGCTGCCTTCATGGTTCACTGTGTGTGTGTGTGTGTGTGTGTGTGTATGTGTGTGTGTGTGTGTGCATGCATGCATGTGTGTGTGTGTAAGGGGAGGACATCAAAGTTCGCTCAGAATAGGGAGGGATAGAAGGAAGTGGAAGAAAGTACCTGGCCTGTCTAGGAGTCTTTGGAGAGTTTCTGTGCGGCGGTGAAGCCTCATCTGAAGCCTGAAGGGGGCGGTGTGAGTAAGGGGGACTCCTCAGGGGAGGATTAGCAGGCGCCTAGGCCCTGAGAAGCAGGAGCAGGGCCTGGTGCTGGAGCCAGGGGGCCTGCAGGGCCTCCCCCCCCCTCCCCGATATAACTTGGACTCATTTTTTACATATCATTAATTCCTGTCTCCTCCACCCCCTTCTTCCTCCTCCGCGCCCCCCCCTCCCCCCCCAATCTTCTTGAGGAGACTTGCTTTTACAAAAGAACAATAGGGAGTTGTGGAAGGTTTGGAGCTTGCGAGTGACAGGTTCAGGTTCATGTTTTTAAGGATCATGTGGGATGACTGAAGGGCAGCATGTAGGTGAGCCAGGAGGGCTAGTTGGGGGTGGTGCTGGTGGCCAGGGCATACAACTGAGGAAGAGGCAAGCAGTGGGTGAATAGAAGATAAATTTAGGCTTTAAAACCTATGGGACTTGCCGAAACCGGTTTGGCTCAGTGGTGGAGCGTTGGTCTGCGGACTGAAGGGTCCCAGGTTCAATTCCAGTCGGGGGCATGTACATTGGTTGCTGGCACATCCCCGGTGGTGGGTGTGCAAGAGGCAGCTGGTCGAAGTTTCTCTCTCATTGACGTTCCTCTCTGTAAAAAAATCAATAAAATATATTAAAAACAAACAAACAAACAAACAAAAAAACCTATGGGACTTGATGGGCTGGACTAGGGAGAGGGGTGCAGTGACTATAGATGATCGGGTAGTTGGCTTCCTGCCCAATTACATGGGTTTTTCTCAAAACCTGGGGATGGAGCCGGGCTGGACCTTGGCCTTTGCTACATGCCTCTGGCCTCTCTCCCAACAGGGCTGCTCGTGTTGCACTGGGAGGCCAACGGCTCCTCGTCCTGGGGCTTCAACGCTTCCGTGGGCTCTGCCCGCTGTGGGTCAGGAGGCCCTGGCAGCTGCCCTGTCCCCCAGGAGTGTGTGCCCCAGGATGGGGCTGCAGGTGCTGGCCTCTGCCGCTGTCCCCAGGGCTGGGCTGGCCCACACTGTCGCATGGCTCTGTGTCCTGAAAACTGCAATGCCCACAACGGGGCAGGCACCTGTAACCAGGTACAGATGGGGTGGGTGAGTTAGGTGGCACAGGGTGGTGCTCAGGGCTCTTGCCGAGCTTTCTTCTTCTGTCCCCCAGAGTCTGGGCGTGTGCATCTGTGCTGAGGGCTTCGGGGGCCCCGACTGCGCCACGAAGCTGGACGGTGGCCAGCTGGTCTGGGAGACCCTCATGGACAGCCGCCTCTCAGCTGTGCGTTGTGGCAGCTGTTTCCGGGGGGGTTTCACACAGCCTGGCATTCTCCCTCCTCCCCTCCTGGGACCATTCCCCAGACCCGATATTCTGCCAGATACTGTCAAGGCCTTATAGCATGACCCCTCCTGTTTCCACCCCCACCCTCAGGACACTGCTAGCCGCTTCCTGCACCGCCTGGGGCACACCATGGTGGAGGGACCTGATGCCACCCTGTGGATGTTTGGGGGCCTGGGCCTCCCCCAGGGGCTGCTGGGAAACCTGTACAGGTGAGAACTGCCCTGGGGAGGTGGGATTCCTGAATGAGAGAGAGAAGGTCACCTTCGAGATGCTGAGATATCTGTCTCATAAGAGTCCCTCGGGGGTGCAGAATAGGACACTTCAAAGGACACTGTGACACTTGTCACAGCAAGTTCACCTCAGGGTGGATACTCATTTGGGTGGTGTTACCCTGGGGGATTGTAAGGTGACTGTCATAGGAGGGTCGCCCTAGGGAATGCTGGATGACCGGACAGTGAGGCTGCCTTTCTGTGTGGGTTCCAGGTACTCCGTGAGTGAGTGGAGGTGGACACAGATGCTGGCAGGAGCTGAGGACGGGGGCCCGGGCCCCTCACCCCGTTCCTTCCATGCCGCTGCCTATGTGCCCGCTGGCCGAGGTGCCATGTACCTGATGGGGGGGCTCACAGCTGGGGGCATCGCCCGAGACTTCTGGGTCCTCAACCTCACCACCCTACAGTGGCGGCAGGAGAAGGTGAGCACATCTCCCACCCCCAAGCCTTAACACCGGGCTCTGGCTAAGGTGACAGGGAGCTCCTGCAGGCTTCCTCCCCGGGTCCCAGCACAAGTCCCAGAATTGAATTTCATTGGCCGTCTGGGCCACATTGTACTGCCCAGCTGATCTGGTCAAGGGGTATGACGCCCTGGTGGGCCAGCCTGTGGAGAGATAGAGTCAGCCCTTTGCAGCCAGAGCTAGAGCAGGGCATTCCAAAGGAGCACAGGCTGTTCTCCCTGAAGAAGTGACACTGAGAGGCAGGCGTGGGAAAAGGCCTGCTGCCTCCTGCTGGGCCAGGGCTGGCCGGTCGGTCGGAGGGCCTATGGTCTGACCAGCCCCAGGCAGCTCACTGTCTCCTTAGCGAGTTCAAGCGGAGTGTGGGGAGTTGTGAGTCTCGCTTCTACCCTCAAGATGACCCCTGACCTCTGGCCTCCTATGACCTTTGCCCTCTATCTCTCAGGCCCCTCAGACTGTGGAACTTCCAGCTGTCGCTGGTCACACCCTCACTGCGCGCAGAGGCCTGTCTCTGCTCCTGGTGGGCGGTTACTCTCCTGAAAATGGCTTCAACCAGCAGCTGCTCGAGTACCAGCTGGCGACTGGCACCTGGGTGTCCGGAGCTCAGAGTGGGACACCCCCCACAGGTGGGGCTAGGGACAGGAGGGCACAGCAGGCTCTCGTCCACTCCCACACTCCATGGCCACTGCCCTCACACCTTGTTATCTCCCTGTCGTCCCCTGCCCCTGCCCAGGCTCTCAGGTACCATTTCTTGAGAATGAGATGCTCAGTGTCTCTAACACCCTCCCCTTGACTCCATGAAAAGCTGCCCTCTTCCTGTCCAGCAGCGCAGGTCACCTTCTCCTCTCCCCAGATCGCTGTCCCTCAGATAATCTCCTTTCTCTTCCTCTCCTTCTGTTCTTTGGTTACTGTCCCCAGAACATTCTGGCCGCCCGGTCTCCCTCTTCCCTTTCTCAGAGCCTCTGAGTCTGGGAAGGGCCCCTGAGTCTGTGGCCTCAGGGCCTGGGAAGGTGTGGTAATGAGAAGGGGAGCCCAGGAAGGTGGGGGCCTTCCTGATCCCCAGGCCTTCCCCAGCCTCTGTTCCCCCTCTATCTCCCCGCCCCCCAGGTCTCTATGGTCATTCTGCCGTGTACCACGAGGCCACCGACTCTCTCTACGTGTTTGGGGGTTTCCGCTTCCACGTGGAGCTGGCGGCCCCATCCCCCGAGCTCTACTCCCTGCACTGTCCTGACCGAACCTGGAGCCTGCTGGCCCCTTCTCAGGGGGCAAAGGTCAGAAAAGGTGGTCTAGACAGATGGATGTAGTGGGTGGAAGGGAGTGGGCCTCCCTGTTCCAATGATCCAGGACTAGTTCACCCCTGGACTCCTACCTCCCCTTCTTCACAGTCCCCTGAACCGAGCTGTGGCAGCCCAAGTCTCCCCTGCTCCACCCCTGGCTTGGAAGAAAGAATCCTAGATCAGGAGTTCCAGGCCTGGGTTCTGCTCCTCCCACTCTTGGTGTAGCCCTGGCAGGCCCCACCCCCTTCCTGGCCTCCCCATCTGGAACTGGGGCTCTGAAGCTCCTTGCACTTCCTGCCTTCAAGGCCAAAAGAGAGGGGTGTGGGATGTGCTGGTTAGAGACAATTGCATTTTCCATCCACCCAACCTACTCCCAAGTCCTTCACAGATGCTCCCAGCCCAGCTGGTGCGGTTACATGAAAATGTGACATCTGTTTCAAGCAGTCTGGGCTAGCTCCTGGGGAGTAGCTTGTAACCAGGCTAGGGTCTGCACTTGGCGCCGGGGTCTGCTTATCCAGGGAGCAGGCCGACAGTGACAGCTCAGGGGAGGGTGGTGCTGGTTCTCTCCGAAGGGGCTCTGTGCTAGGCCAGGCTGGGCTGCCAGGTCAGAGCACAGGATGTGGGAGCAGGAAAAGGAGGTGGCTCTGGGGCCCGCTGAGGAAGGAGGGAGGTTTCCTGGAGGAAGAGGTGAGGTCTGAGGAAGGTTCACTGGGTGGGCTGGTGGGTGCTGGGGTGTAGGGAGAATCAGGGTGGCCAGTGGGCTGAGAGAGTGAACAGGGGACAGTGGGCTCTGACAGGCCACCTGTCTTCCCAACAGCCCCGCCCCCGACTTTTCCACGCCTCAGCGCTGCTAGGGGACACCATGGTGGTCCTGGGGGGCCGCTCGGACCCTGATGAGTTCAGCAGTGATGTGCTGCTCTACCAGGTCAACTGCAACTCTTGGCTGCTGCCTGACCTCACCCGTAAGTCCATTGCCGTCCCTGTGAGCCCCCACCCGGGACCCCTGCTCATTAGGAGTCACATGGGTCCCTTCAGACTCAGGCAAAGCTCCTGTTGCCTCCATGGTATCTAAAGACCCAAGGGGATGCCCTCCTTCCTTTTTTTTTTTTTTCCCTTAGAGAAGTTTATTTTGCTGCTTTTATTGGGGTCTGTGGTGGGGGCCTAGGATTTTTACTGGCTCACTCATTATTGGTGAATTTATTATTATTTTAAAAATATATTTTATTGATTTTTTACAGAGAGGAACAGAGAGAGATAGAGTGTTAGAAACATCGATGAGAGAGAAACATCGATCAGCTGTCTCCTGCACATCCCCCTCTGGGAATGTACCTGCAACCAAGGTACATGCCCTTGAATGGAATTGAACCTGGGACCTTTCAGTCAGCAGGCTGACGCTCTATCCACTGAACCAAACTGGTTTTGGCTCATTATTTGTGAATTTAAAATGTAAGAGCAGAAAACAAACAAGTAGCTCACACAGTCAATTTGAAACCAACCAAGTTCTCTACAACACATCTGGCTCTGTGGACCCGGTCCTGGGCGGCCATGTGTGATTCCTGGGAGCCTTCCTGAGCGGGTGCCTCTGGAAGGGCTGCCTGGCGGTCAGAGCTTCAGTCAGGCACTTGCATGGCAAGACGAAAACAACTGTCAGGGCTGTACTGCAGCACTCTTCTCCACTCCTAATGTCACTCGCTGCTCCTTTTTCTCTCTGTGTCTCTCTCCCTCGCTTGTGTTTTGCTGTCTGTGTCTAATTCCCTGGCCCTGTTGGGCCTTTCCTGTCTTTCCCTGTCCTGTCCCGACTGTCTTTGCTCTCCTTAGCCTCTCACGGCTTGCTCGCTGTCCCTCTCTGACTGGTGTTTTTGTGTGGGCCTCTTTCTGGGGTCTCCTGCCCGTTCTCTCTCTTTCCCCAGGCCAGGCCTCTGTGGGGCCCCCGATGGAGGAGTCTGTGGCCCATGCTGTGGCGGCGGTGGGGGGCCGCCTGTACATCTCAGGGGGCTTTGGGGGAGTGGCCCTGGGCCGCCTGCTGGCCTTGACCATGCCCCCCGACCCCTGTCGCCTGCTGCCCTCACCTGAAGCTTGTAACCAGTCTGGGGCCTGCAGCTGGTGCCATGGGGTCTGCTTGTCTGGAGACCAGGCTCACAGGTAATGGTGCTGACTGGCAGCTCCGGGGAGGGTGATGCTGGTGCTCTCCGAAGGGGGTTCTGTGCTAGGCCAGGCTGGATGCCAGCTCACAAGGGGATATGGGCAGCTCATTACAGGCAGGGCGGGCTGGGGACTCGAGGGGCAGTCCTGCTTGTGGGCTGGAGCGTTATCCAAAAAGACATGGGGTTCAGGAACCACCTGAAGGAGCTGGATCTGAATTGGGCCCTAAATGACCAGGAGACTTGACACCAGCAGTTTCAGAGGTGGGGCTGTGATTGGCATGTTTGAAAGACCACCTGAGTTTGGAGAACATGAGACTGGAAAGTTGGGTGAGGTCCCCAGTGCTTGGCTGAGGCACTGGCTCCATCCAGTCCACAGACCTCCTCATTTTAGTTTGGGAAGCTGAATGTGCCAGGAAGCTGAGCTCGCTGTCATAGGTTTATCACAAACTCATTTGGCTCCACTTGTCCCGTTAAATGTGCCATCATCTTTACTACAGAAATATTAGAGGGTTTGACTGATGGGGTGTTATGTACGAATGCGCACATCCACTTCTTTTCTGAGATCTGGGAAGCTTGGAAGCTTGGCTTTCAAAGATTAGGGGTAAAGGATTATGGACCTCCACTGTGAATGACAGGGAGCCACAAAGGTTTGGGCAGGAGGTGGCAGGCAGCCTGGGGCAGAAAGAGAGCTTGGGGCTATTGTGAGGGAGGAGTGACCAGGGGAGGCTGCAGGTAGAAACTAGACAGGAGGCCAGAGCTAGGGGAAGAGGCCGAACTGAGCAAAGGGCTGCAGAGATGGGCAGGAGGGGACGGTCAGAGAAATCCGAGGCTGAGAGCCTGGGTGCTGGAGGAGCAGGAGGATGTGACGTGCTGTTTAGTGTCACTGGCTTGGGTGACGGGTGGACATGGGACCATTAGCAGGTGAGATGGGGAAGGAGCAGGACTGAGTTTTGTGCTGAGTGCAGTTTGGCATCAAGAACATGGAGCCTGGATGAGCCAAGGTCTTGTGTCTCCCCAGGCTGGGCTGTGGGGCACCCGCTTGCTCCCCAATGCCTCATTCCCCTGAGGAATGCCGACGCCTCCGGACCTGCAGTGAGTGCCTTGCCCGCCATCCCCGGACCCTGCAGCCTGGAGATGGAGAGGTGAGTGGCTCGAGGGAAGGTGGAGGGGCTCAGGAACAGCATCCTCTTCAGCTGTGATTGGGTGGAGGAGCTGGGTCAGGAGGGATGCAGGGGACCCTGAGGACCTCATAGAGTCTGTCTTCCCCCACCAGGCATCTGTCCCCCGCTGTAAGTGGTGTACCAACTGTCCCGAGGGTGCCTGCATTGGGCGCAACGGGTCCTGCACCTCAGAGAATGACTGTCGGATCAATCAGCGAGAGGTCTTCTGGGCAGGGAACTGCTCAGAGGCTGCGTGTGGGGCTGCCGACTGTGAGCAGTGTACCAGGGAGGGCAAGTGCATGTGGACACGGCAGTTCAAGAGGACAGGTGAGCACCAAGGCTGGGCCCCTGAAAGGAGAGGCTGGGCCCCTGAAAGGGGGCCTGGACTCCTGGTCTGAGGGAGGAGGGCTGGGGGCCTGGATTCCTGGGTCTGAGCGAGGAGGGCTGGGGGTCTGGGCTCCGGGTCTGAGGGAGGAGGGCTGGGGGCCTGGATTCCTGGGTCTGAGCGAGGAGGGCTGGGGGTCTGGGCTCCGGGTCTGAGGGAGGAGGGCTGGGGGCCTGGACTCCTGTCACTGAGGAAGGAGGGCTGGGGGCCTGGGCTCCAGGTCTGATGGAGGAGGGGCTGGGGGCTTGGACTCCTGGGTCTGAGGGAGGAGGGTCCGGGGGCCTGGACTCCTGGGTCTGAGGGAGGAGAGGTTTGGGGCCTGGACTGCTGGGTCTGAGGGAGGAGGGCTGGGGGTCTGGGCTCCAGGTCTGAGGGAGGAGGGGCTCCCAGCATCCCAGTTCTAATCACTATGCCCCCACACTAGGGGAGACCCGCCGCATCCTCTCCGTGCAGCCCACCTACGACTGGACATGCTTCAGCCACTCTCTGCTGAACGTGTCCCCAATGCCGGTGGAATCATCGCCCCCACTGCCCTGCCCCACTCCCTGTCACCTCCTGCCCAACTGTACCTCCTGTCTGGACTCCAAGGGTGCGGACGGGGGCTGGCAACACTGTGTCTGGAGCAGCAGTCTCCAACAGGTACTGCACTCTGCCAGGGCTCTGGGCTCTTTCCTCTTTGCCCTGCACTGACTCTTTCCACTGCCTCCTTCTCTGTCCCATTTCCTCTCCATCTCCTCGCTCTGGTCTCACCTTCACACTTTCCCTTAACCCCCATTCTCTTCTCTCTCCCAGCGTCTCTTTCTTCCCTCCTTGCCTCGCGAGTCTCCCTGTGTCTTCTTGCCACACTCCCTCAGCTCTCCCCGCCATCCTTCCGTGACTCTTAACCATCCCTCTTCCTACCAAACCCGTCCACTAAGAACTGGGGGTATTTGATGGAATGTAGACAGGAAATATTGCTGCTCTGTGGTTCTTGGACCACGTGGTCTTTCTTCTCAGCTGTTCTCTGCATGTCTCCATCCTCCAGTTTCTGGGCTCCGTGATAACACACATGGCCTCAAATGGCAGCCCTGACCCTCTGTCTAGGTGACATTCTAATTCTAGAGACCACAGTCATCTCTGTTCATTGGTTCGCTGACATTCTCAAAGGGACTTCAGCTCAGCTTAGGAGTTAGGTATCCATCCTTGGTCAGGGGTAGGAGCACATGGTTCTAACTTAGAGTTCAGACCTGCCTCTCATCTGTGGCTGTGGGCTGGAGAGAGAATTCTGGAAGGTCTGGGGAGGCTCTATATATGCCAATGACAGTCTGCCCCTTGGCTGCCCAGAACATGCTCTCTTTCAAAGCCCATTCTTTTTTATTTATTTAATTTTATTGATTTTGTAAAGGGAGGGAGAGAATGAGAAAGAGAGGGAGGGAGGGAAAGAGAGAGGGAAAAACATCGATTGGTTGCCTCTCGCACATTGCCCCAATGGGTGTGTGCTCTGACCTGGGGTTGAACTCCCTTTCGGTGTATGGGATGACGGTCCAACCAACTGAGCCACCCAGCCAGGGCATAAAGCCCATTCTTAAGGTGCCTCTGCCCAGCATGCTCTAGCTGTCCCAGTGACAGACATTGAAACATTTATCCTCCCACCCTTCCCCGGTGGAGACAAGATTCACCTCCTGCTGTCGTATCTGAAAGCAGTGTCACTGGGCCAGAGTTCCGAGTCTTCAGTTCCCACCAATGTCCATGCCCATTCATATCTTTAGTTGTAAGACCCAATCGAGGTGTGACTCACCATCTCAACCCATGAGTCTACACGAGTCCTTGGTAAAATAGGACTGATATCAATAGACCCCATCTAAGGTGTTTCTTAAAAAAAAATTTTTTTTATTGATTTCAGAGAGGAAGGGAGAGGGAGAGAGAAAAACATCAATGATGAGAGAGAACCATTGATTGGCTGTCTCCTGCATGCCCCCCACGGGGGATTGAGCCCACACCGGGCATGTGCCCTGACCAGGAATCGAACTGTGACCTCTGGGTTCATAGGTAGATGCTCAACCATTGAGCCAAAGTGGCTGGGCCCCATTTGAGGTGTTTCAACACCAGTGACCAATTCACCAGTTCTCCAGATACAACCTGGAATCCAACAATTCAATGTACTTCTGACACGCTCCACCTGTCAGATCCCACAAGTTAAAGAGCTCAGAAGACTGCCCCACTCCAGATGTCAGTCACAAGTCCAAGCCTCTTGCACTTCTGACCACCAGCCATAAATCCAATTCCCACCAACCCTTCTGCAGGTTTTCTGATTTTTTAGAACAGCTCACAGAACTCACCTTACCGATGCCGGTGCATTGGAAAGGATGTGATATAGGAAGAGCCACATGAGGAGGTCAGTAGGGCCAGATGAGGAAGGTGTATGGAGTTTCCATGCCCTCTCTGGGCACACTAGTTGGGTGTGTATACCAACTCTGAGCCTCGTTTTTCTCAAGAGTTTTTATAGAGCTCAATCACCGGGTCAATGGGTGGGGCTAAAAATTATATCCCTCTCTCTAATCATTTGATATTTCTGGTGACCCTCCCTAAGTCATTCATAAACTCATAGGAGAATGGGGCTCCTGGTGAATTGTAGCTTTGTGCCAGGAATTGGACAAAACCCAAATTATTTTTTTTGGGTTGCACCACACCATCCCATAGGCAGGTTGTGTAAATTAATGGGAGGATGTTTTGGTAGAACACAGAGCAGAGCCTGCCATTAAGTAAAAACTCAGCAACGCCCCAGGTTCCACCCACAGGAAGATTCCCAATCTCCACTTTCTGGGGCACACCCGGAGGATCCCTGCATGGGGTGGGGAGTGGATGTCCCTGTGGGGCTCTCAGTGTGACCCTGCAGTGTCGCTCCTTAACAAGCAGAGGCCTCTCCTCCCCCAGCTAGGGTCTATCTGGCGATGGGACTCCTCCCAGGTATTATTGAGATTCCATCATTTGTCTTTGTGGGTGCTCCAGGGACCAGAGAGAGAGCATGTGCTGCTCCCCGGCCCTGTGTGCCTGCTCCAGGGCAGCTCCAGGCTGAGGCAGGCGCAGGTGATGGAGAGCACAACGCTGATTCTGCCTGTGAATGTGAGAGGACTTCCGCCAGATCTTCTGGTTGAAGTGTTGGCTCAGGTTTTTAAAAACCACCACAGCACAGACCAAGCATAAGAGGTGTGCAGGCCAGGGCTGTTATGATCTGGCTCGGGCAGCTGTATTTCAGCCATCCAGCATTGTTCTTTATGACTTTGTCCTCAGAGCCTGCCTAGCACAGGCAAGATAACTCTCTTCCCTGGCTGGCTGACTTATTTCCTCCTTTCCCTTCTCCCTTCACCAATAATAATAATAATAATAATAATAACAATAAATATATGTATATATTTTATTGTTGACAATATTACAGATCTCTCCCTCCCCCCACCCCTTTAACTCCTTTCACCAATTTCTTTAAAAAAAAAAAAAAAATATATATATATATATATATATATATTTTATTGATTTTTTACAGAGAGGAAGGGAGAGAGATAGAGAGTCAGAAACATCGATCAGCTGCCTCCTGCACATCTGCTAGGGATATGCCTGCAACTAAGGTACATGCTCTTGACTGGAATCGAACCTGGGACCCTTCAGTCCGCAGACTGACACTCTATCCACTGAGCCAAACCGGCCTCGGCAATTTCTTTCTTTCTTTCTTTCTTTCTTTTTTTTTAAATTCTCACCTGAGGACATTTTTTCATTGATTTTTAGAGAGAATGGAAGGGAGAGGGAGAGACAGAAACACCAATGTGAGAGAGACACATCAATTGGTTGCCTCCCACATGGGCCGGGATCCTGTAACTGAGGTAATGCCCTTGACTAGAATTGAGCCCAGGACCCTTCAGTCTGCAGGCCAATGCTCTGTCCATGAGCAGACCCCCTAGGGCCACCAAATTCTTTGTTTAGTACCTTCTTTGTGCCCAGGCACTTTGCTAGGCTGTGGGCACATCAGTAGATGAGCTTGGATCCTGCTCTTGGAACTTACATTCATATGTCTCTGCCAGGAGCACAGGCAGTGCAGTCAGGGTGTTACAGGCAGTGCAGCTATGGTGTTACAGGCAATGCAGTCATGGTGTTACAGGCAATGCAGTCATGGTGTTACAGGCAGTGCAGCCATGGTGTTACAGGCAGTGCAGCTATGGGGTTACAGGCAGTGCAGTCATGGTGTTACAGGCAATGCAGTCATGGTGTTACAGGCAGTGCAGCCATGGTGTTACAGGCAGTGCAGCTATGGGGTTACAGGCAGTGCAGTCATGGTGTTACAGGCAATGCAGTCATGGTGTTACAGGCAGTGCAGCCATGGTGTTACAGGCAGTGCAGCTATGGGGTTACAGGCAGTGCAGTCATGGTGTTACAGGCAATGCAGTCATGGTGTTACAGGCAATGCAGTTATGGTGTTACAGGTAATGCAGTTATGGTGTTACAGGCAATGCAGCCGTGGTGTTACAGGCAATGCAGCCATGGTGTTACAGGCAATGCAGTTATGGTGTTACAGGCAATGCAGCCATGGTGTTACAGGCAATGCAGTTATGGTGTTGGGCAGCATCGCATTTGGCCTTTAGGGAGGTCATAGCAGAAGGCACTGTGCAGACTGGAGCCTCAGGCTTCTCTCCACCAAATTGCAGATGGCTCTGCAGTCTGCCGAAGGGCGCACTAAATTTAGATCCAGAGGCCTAGCCTGGTAGAGAATTTGGCAGTTGAGCAAAGCTCAGCTCATTGCTGGCCATAACCCTCAATGGGCTCAAAGCCCCAGCTACAGCAGTTGGGTTTTCTATTTCAGGATTGCATGCTGGCTTTGGTTTTTCCTAAGTGCTGCCAGCCAACAGCCCAGATGAATCTCTTTCCTCTTATACTTTACTTAAGGCCCAAGCAGTAAATGAAATGGTCTTACACACGGAGGTCCGTTCCCAGGGGCCTGACCCTCATTGCCGGGTCTCAGAGCGTGATAAGTGATGGCATGGGAGCTGCTGCTCAGCCGCTGACGGTGGACTTCTCAGCTTCCCAGGCTAGGATGGGAACGGCTGCCCCCGCAGCCAGGTCCTCCTGACACCAGTTTCTGTCTCCATCTGGGATGGTTGTAAGAAGCAGCTGTGTCCTGAGCCCAGAGGGTAGAGAGGACTCACTATACCAACACAGAAGCCTGGTGGGGAGTGCAGCCAGGGGTCCCGGGGACAGGAGCCGGAGCTGGAAAGCCGCCGCTCCATCGGGGTTTGGGGTGTGGTGCTCATCTTTGCTTTCTTCCCGGCTTCTTCCTCTCCTCTTCAGGGCGGTCGTTTGCTCATTCAAACGGCCCTGCAGCCCGGGTTACATAATCTTCCAGTTTCCAGGAATTCCCTAGTCTGACTCAGTAATGGATGCTTGAGAGGGAGAGGGCCATGATGACCAGGTGGTGTCCACTTTGGCCCACCCAGTGTGGCCGGGAGGGTAAGCTCTCTGAGCAGAGGTGTAGCTGGGAAGATACCCAGGAGGTGTTTATTTGACCCAGTGGATCTGCCTTTCTCCTCTGCACAGTGTCTGAGCCCCTCGTACCTGCCCCTGCGATGTATGGCTGGAGGCTGTGGGCGGCTGCTCCGAGGGCCCGAGAGCTGCTCCCTGGGCTGTGCTCAGGCAACCCAGTGCGCCCTGTGCCTGCGGCGCCCCCACTGTGGCTGGTGTGCCTGGGGGGGCCAGGATGGGGGTGGCCGCTGCCTGGAGGGTGGACTCAGCGGCCCCCGTGATGGTGAGAGGGGCTCGGGGGTGGGGTGAGAGGGGTTGGCACGGAGCATGGAGGGGTGCTGGAGGCTGTCTCAAAGGTGGGGCTCGGGGGAAGTAGGAGCAAGGGCCTGGTGGCTGGGTGGGAGATGCAGAGGCCCCAGTAAAGCCCTGTGTCTGTGCTAGGGCTGACGTGCGGGCGTCCTGGGGCCTCCTGGGCCTTCTTGTCCTGCCCCCCTGAGGACGAGTGTGCAAACGGGCACCATGACTGCAATGACACACAGAACTGCCATGACCAGCCCCACGGTTATGAGTGCAGCTGCAAGACAGGCTACCTCATGGACAAGTGAGGCTGCAGCCGGACTGGGGCCTGGGCTGGGGTCCGGGGAAGAGGGTCGGACAGACTGGAGGAGGAGAGTGTAAGGAGCAGTAAGGGATGGAGCATGGGCCACGGCAGGGTGAAAGGAAGCAGTCCTAGGTGTGATGGTGGTAGGATTGATCCAGGGGGCTAGGTCGTGGAGGGCAAGGTTGTGAATTTGATGGGGTGCCCCAGGAAGAGGGGCTGTGGGCAGGCTCCTGCAGGGGGGAGAGGGAACAGCAGGGGTGAGTTTGGTGAGGGCGAGCTCGGCCCCTGCCCTGCCCTGCCCTGACCCCTCCCTTCCCCGCAGTGTCACAGGGCTGTGCCGCCCCGTGTGCGCCCAGGGCTGTGTGAATGGCTCCTGCGTGGAGCCTGACCACTGCCGCTGCCACTTCGGCTTTGTCGGACGGAATTGCTCCACGGAGTGTCGCTGCAACCGCCACAGCGAGTGCGCCGGCGTGGGGGCCCGGGACCACTGCCTGCTCTGCCGCAACCACACCAAGGTGGCCGCCCGCCCTGGCCCCGGCCCCTTCAGCCCGTGTTCCCACCTCTTGAGCCTCAAACGGGGTTGGGGGATGGCTTGACCCTGTCCGGAGAGCTGTGGGAAGGCTTTGGGGACACCGCTCGGGCTGGAGTCACAGGGGCTGCCATGGGATAGTGGACAGAGCTGGTGCTGGGCAGGGAGGGTGGTTACGTGGAGGAGGGTTTGGAATAATTTAGGGCAGGGGCTTTCTGAGCTCAGCACCTTGGGTTGTAAGGACCGGGCCCCTCCCCTGCCACGAGAGGTGTGTGAGTGAAGGCGGCAGGGTGAAACCCAGACAGGCCGGGATTGCCCACGCCAAGTGCCGAGCCTATGCCCTTTGTGGGAATCTCAGAACCTAGGACCCCCCGCTGCCATGCCCCACCACGACTCTCCAGTCCTTCTGACCACATTGTCCCTGGTTTCCAGGGCAGCCACTGTGAGCAGTGCCTCCCGCTGTTCGTGGGTTCTGCCGTGGGGGGCGGGACCTGCCGGCCCTGCCACACCTTCTGTCGTGGCAACAGCCACGTCTGTGTCTCCAGGAAGGAGCTGGACATGGCGAGGAGGGAGCCGGAGAAGTACTCCCTGAACCCCGAGGAGGTGAAGGGCCTGGGTGGCGAACTCCTGGGTCTGAGGGGGGCTGGTCCATGGCTTTTCGTGATGATTCTGTCCTTCCTCGGCCAGATTGAAAACTGGGTGACGGAGGGTCCCAGCGAAGACGAGGCTGTGTGTGTGAACTGCCAGAATAACAGCTACGGGGACAAATGTGAGAGCTGCCTCCACGGTTACTTCCTCCTGGATGGCAAGTGCACCAAGTGAGTGGAGGGGCGGGGGTCCATGGCCCATCCATTGGGCAGAGCTCTGGCGGCAGACCCTCCCCAGTCCTCAGGAGGAGGTGAAATCCCCCGGGAACCCCAGGCCGGGTGTGAGGGGAAGGAGCCGGACTCAGATAGGAGACCCCCCTATCTCAGAGGCAGTGCTGATGGAGGCTCGTGGGCAAAGAAAGGCCTCAGGACACCTTCCCCGGCCCACCCCTCCTTCTGAGGGGTCAGTGCAAGCTGGGTTCTGGTCCTCACTCTGCACTTACCAGCTCCGTGGTCTTGGGTGAAGGGCTGGGCCTCTGTGAGCCTGTTTTCTCTTCTGGCCTCGTTTAGAGCTGACATATGCAGCGTCCAACCGGGCCCCTGCAGGACCCGAGAGCACTCTGACCCATCTTCCTCCCCCTCAGATGCCAGTGTAATGGCCATGCGGACACCTGCAACGAGCAGGACGGGACAGGCTGCCCGTGTCAGAACAACACAGAAACGGGTACCTGCCAGGGGAGCTCCCCCAGTGACCGCCGAGACTGCTACAAGTACCAGGTGCGGCTGGGGAATGAGTCATGGGCCAAGGCCCCGCGGCCACAGGGATCAGAGCTGGGGGGAGGCAGCCTGGCCCAGGCAGGACCGACGTTGTGGTTTTGAACTCTGTGGTCATGGGGTCAAGGCCAGCTTGATAGACTGTTTCTGAGCCCCAGTCAGTTTCAGGCCCCGGGCAGTGATGCTGGACAATCCAGAAATGAGCCTCTTGGGGCGGTGTGTGTGTGTGTGTGTGTAGATCACTTGGGCTGGTGAGGAGACAGACTCCACTGTAGATAGTCATGACTTAATGACTTAAATGTTGCAAATGCCAGAAAACCCATCTTGTAGTAGCTTAAGCAAAAAAGAATAGTATTGGCTCTCAAAACTGAGGTCTGGAGTCTGCCTTCAGGAATGGCTGGATCCAGGTGCTCATACAATGCCATCAGGAGTATCGCTTTCCCTGCATATTGACTCTGCTTTCCTCTGTGTTGGCTTCATTCTCAGGCAGGTTTTCCTCCAAGTGGCAGCTCCTACATAATGACCTTGAGCTGATAGGGGATCTTCATATCGTCACTGATACCCATATTCACATTCCTTGAGTTCATCTCCTTTCTTGGCCAGGGGGGCTCCCTGCGTTAGCCACCAGGTTGGCTGCCATGTTGCAAGCTCGCCTCCCCCAGAATGGGTATTCCATGTTCCCTCCTTGAACTGACTTCTCTCTCTATTTTAGAGGGGAGAAAAAAATCCCTGTTTGCCTCAGTCACCCTCACCCATCAAGAGAAACATCATATCTACAAAGATGCAACTTCACTCAAAATGCCAACTGGGCCCTGGCTGGTTTGGTTCAGTGGATAAAATATCAGCCTGTGGACCAAAGGGTCCCGGGTTCAGTTCCTGTCAAGGGGCATGTACCTTGGTTGCAGGCTCCTCCCTGGCTCGGGCCCTGATCAGGGCACGCCAGGAGGCAACCAATTGATGCATTTCTCTCACATCTATATTTCTCTGTCTTTCCCTCTCTCTCTCACTTTCCCTAAAAATCAATGGAAAAATGTTTTCAGGTGAGAATTTGAAAAAAAAAAAATCTTTAAAAAAAAATGCTAACTGAGCTTCCCAGGCCTTACTGACGCTTGACATTCCATCCTGGACCAGAATGTTTGCTTTCTTGATACATAATCAAAGCCCCATTGGCCCTAAAAACACACAAAAATAAGTCGCAGGGAATAATTCAGCCCTCCTCCTCCAGCAGCTCTGTGGGCAGTGATAAAGCAGCGGTTCTTTTTTTTATTTTTTTAATCTAATATATTTTATTGATTTTTTACAGAAAGGAAGAGAGAGGGATAGAAAGTCAGAAACATCAATGAGAGAGAATCATCGATCAGGTGCCTCTTGCACATCCCCTACTGGGAATGTGCCCGTAACCAAGGTACATGCCCTTGACCGGAATCGAACCCGGGACCTTTCAGTCCACAGCCTGACGCTCTATCCACTGAGCCAAACCGGTTTCGGCAAGCAGCAGTCCTTTAGCTTCTAGCAACGAGAGCATGGGAGGATGGATGTGGGGAGTGCCCGCACCGAGGGGTGCTGTGCTGTGGAGACAGTGGAGACCGCACAGAAGTGGAAGGCTCTGCAGGGCTGTGCGGGGCCTTGGTGGGTGTAGATATACAGGGAAACGAGGCTCAGAGACGTGTCATGTCCTGCTTCAGGTCAGCCAGCCAGTTGGGTGTGGAGCCTGGACTGATCCTGGTCAGATCCTAGAGCCTAAGTGGTTTCACTGGACAAAACAGCTGTGATCCACCCACTCATTCACACGTTTACTGAGCACCTACTATATGGCAGGCACTGTGCAAGGCACTGGGCACAGCAGGGAACAGAAATAGGCACAAGGAATTTTCATTCTCACGGGGACTCCAGCAACAAACACCTGAACAAGTCAGACAGATACAGGGTGTGGCAGTGATGAGCAGCAAGGAGGGAAATTAGACAGCAAGGAGGGCTAGAAGTGTTGGGAAGCGAAAATGGCAGATATTTTCTTGGGATATATTCCTAGGAGTGGGATTACTGGGTTAAATGGGAGTTCCATTTTCAGTTTTTTGAGGAAACTCCATACTGTTCTCCACAGTGGTTGCACCAGTCTGCATTCCCACCAGCAGTGCATGAGGGTTCCTTTTTCTCCCCAACCTCGCCAATACTTGTCGTTTGTTGATTTGTTGATGTTGGCTATTCTGACAGGTGTGAGATGGTACCGCATTGTTGTTTTGATTTGCATCTCGAAAATGGCAGATATTGAGGCCAAGGAAGGCCTCAGTGACATGATGACACTTGAGTAAAAACCTGATGGTCAGGATGCCAGGCACACTGACATGGGGGAAAAGGCAGGGCAGGTGGAGACTGATCCAGGTAGAGGATCAGCCAGTGCAAAGGCCCTGAGGTAGGACCTATCAACACAGCCCGGAAACAGTGAGACAGGCCCACCCTGCACTGATTTCAGCAGTCCTGGGAGCCAGCCATGTTTGCTACCTATGTACAGAGGAAGAACTTCACGTTTACTGGGCCGCACAGCTAGTGGGGTGGAGCCAGGATTCAACAGAGTTCCTCATCCTGGTTGCAGAGGCCTCAGCATCAGGATGCTGTGTTCACCGGGTGACACCAGGGACAGCAGTGCTGGAGTTTAGGGTCCTGGCAGTGTCCACTCTGTGCCGGGGGAGCTCAGGGGGAACCACAGAGTGGAATCCACTCTGTGCCAGGAGGGCTTAGGGGGACCACAGAGTAGAATCCACTCTGTGCCAGGGGGGCTCAGGGGGACCACAGAGTGGAATCCACTCTGTGCCAGGGGGGCTCAGGGGGACCACAGAAAGTAGCTGGGCCACGGGTGGGACGGGGGCCTTGCTCCCTGCCAATGGGTACAGAATGCCAGCTTTGCTTGGAGGAGTGCTGGCACTGAGCTCAGCCCTGATGGCTGCCTCCGCCCACCCGCAGTGCGCCAAGTGCCGGGAGTCATTCCACGGGAGCCCGCTGGGCGGCCAGCAGTGCTATCGCCTCATCTCTGTGGAGCAGGAGTGCTGCCTGGACCCCACATCCCAGACCAACTGCTTCCACGAGCCCAAGCGCCGGGCCCTGGGCCCGGGCCGCACGGTGCTCTTTGGTGTGCAGCCCAAGTTCACCAACGTGGACATCCGCCTGACGCTGGATGTGACCTTCGGGGCCGTGGACCTCTACGTCTCCACCTCCTACGACACCTTTGTGGTCCGCGTGGCCCCCGACACGGGTGTCCACACAGTGCACATCCAGCCGCCCCCGCCCCCACCGCCGCCCCCGCCCCCTGCGGAAGGCGGGCCCCGGGGGGCCGTGGATCTGGGGGGACCGGGGGCCGGGAGTGGGCCGGGCACCCCGATGGAGCCACGGGTGCGGGAGGTGTGGCCGCGGGGCCTGATCACCTACGTGACCGTGACGGAGCCGTCGGCGGTGCTGGTGGTTCACAGTGTGCGGGACAGACTGGTCATCACCTACCCCCACGAGCACCACGCCCTCAAGTCCAGCCGCTTCTACCTGCTCCTGCTGGGCGTGGGAGACCCGAGTGGGCCTGGCGCCAACGGTTCGGCTGACTCGCAGGGCCTGCTCTTCTTCCGGCAGGACCAGGCCCACATTGACCTGTTCGTCTTCTTCTCCGTCTTCTTCTCCTGCTTCTTCCTCTTCCTCTCCCTCTGTGTGCTCCTCTGGAAGGCCAAGCAGGCCCTGGACCAGCGGCAGGAGCAGCGCCGGCACCTGCAAGAGATGACCAAGATGGCCAGCCGCCCCTTTGCCAAGGTCACCGTCTGCTTCCCGCCCGACCCTGCTGCCCCGATTCCTGCCTGGAAGCCGGCCGGACTCCCACCACCCGCCTTCCGCCGCTCTGAGCCTTTCCTGGCACCCCTGCTGCTGACGGGGGCTGGCGGGCCCTGGGGACCCGTGGGAGGGGGCTGCTGCCCACCAGCCATCCCCACCACCACCGCCGGCCTGCGAGCCGGGCCCATCACCCTGGAGCCCACGGAAGATGGCATGGCAGGCGTGGCCACGCTGCTGCTCCAGCTGCCTGGCGGGCCCCACGCACCCAACGGGGCCTGCCTGGGCTCGGCCCTGGTCACGCTGCGGCACAGGCTGCACGAATACTGTGGGGGCGGTGGGGGTGCCGGGGGCAGTGGCCACGGGGCTGGTGTAGGTCGGAAGGGCCTGTTGAGCCAGGACAATCTCACCAGCATGTCCCTCTGACTGAGGCCGGGTCCCTTGGCCTCAGCAGCCACGTGCCCTGCATCTTTCCCTCTGCCAGGGGCTTGGGGCCCTCCAGACGGGGGCCCCTGGACACTGTCCTCAGAGGACTCTGGTTTCCTTCTCCTGGGGGTCCTCCTCCTTTGTTGTGCATTCAACAATTATTTATTGAGTTCCTACTGTGTGCCAGGCACTGTTGAAGGCACTGGACCGGGCAAAGAGGAACAGAGACAGAGAAGTGTCCCTGGTCTCGTGGGACTGATGTGGAAAGTCAACTGGGCATCCGAGAAGCTAGATAGGAACAGAAGGAAAGGCAGGGGGAGTGTGTTCCAGGTGGAGGGAACAGGTTCCTGACGTGCAAACCAGCTGTTCTAATGGAAAGAGCATAAAGCTGGCCAGTGTGACCCCAACTGAGCGTGAAAAGGAGATAGGGCCGGGGTTAGGCCCCTGGGGCTGGGTCACCCAGGGCCTTGGGCCCCAGACAGGGTTTGGGGTTTTGTTCTCAGGGCAATGGGAAGCTGTTGGACGGTTTTATGAGGGGGATGGCAGGATCCGATGTACCTATTTAAGAGGTCACTCATCTGTGGCAGGGAGAATGGATTGGAAGGGCCGAGAGAGACAGAGCAGGGGGACAAGAGAGGATGATGGGTCAGATAAGGGTGGTGGCTGTGGGAGGGGGCGTCAGGGACAGAGCAGGATGTGGGTAGAAGGGTGTATGGGTAGTGTGAGTGTCAGCGTGAGGGAGGGAGGAAGCCAGAAGGACCCTAACTTCGTGGCCCATGGATGATGGGGTCATTTATTATTATTTTTGTTAATCCTCACCTGACGGTATTTTTTCCATTGCTTTTCAGAGAGAGTGGAAGGGAGGGGGAGAGAGAGAAACACAATGACTGGTTGCCTCCTGCACCCCCCCCCCCCAACCAGGGGCAGGGAGGAAACATGCAACCCAGGTACGTGCCCTTCACTGGGAATCGAACCCAAGACACTTTGGTGCGCTGGCCAATGCTCTAACCATTGAGCAACACCAGGCAGGGCTGGGTTGTTTATTAACATGGGCAGACTGGGGCTTTTGGGGGTAGAGCAGGAGCCTAGTTTGTGGCCTAAGATGCCCTTTAGACATCTCAAGTTGGGTCCAAATGGGAACAAAAACCACTCGGTATCTCAGCAGAAGGAATTGAATGCAGGGATGGCTGGGCTGGTGGCGGACAAGGTTGAGAAGAGTCAGAGACGGGACAGTGAGGCAGCCTGGGGACAGGAAGCTGCTGCTGCTACCCCTGGCTGGAGGGACAGAACTCTGGCGGTGTTGCCTGACCCCAGGACGAGGGTCACTGGCTCAGAGAGCGCTAGGAGACAGAGCCACTGCCTGAGATGCCCAGGCATGAGGGTGAGGGGGTTGGGGTGGTCACCAAGGTTGGAGGTAAGACTGGTGGAGACCTCAACACGCCAGACAGTGCTGCCTTGAAGACTTTGGGGTTCTCCCAGGGCTGTTCCCCCCCCTCAGCCATCACCTTGGACTTCTTAGCACCTCTACTCCCTGAAGACTCCCACCTTTAATCCTAGCCACCTTGAAGTTGAGACTCCTTTCCCAACACTTCATCCGTCAGCTGCTTTTTGGGACCTTGGAGAGCTGGGCTGCGTCTTCCCCTCTGCCAGGGGCCGGCTGAGAGAATGGGGAATGATCGGATCAACAAATAAAGAGTGTGGGAAGACCGGTGTCCACGCTCTGTGCATGCAGAGACAGGGCCTGGGCTCTGTGACTCAGACCCTCGCCGCCTCCTCTAAGCCCCATGGCCCGGCTCCTCTGTGGCTCTTCTGGGCAGGAGTCGGGGTGGTGCCACCATAGAAGCTCTGGTTCCCAGAAGGGACAAGCCGAGGGGACAGGAGGGCAGTGAGGCCTGGAGTCTTCCCCAGGTCTCTGCCGCAGGGAGACCTCTGTTTTAAGGCAAAACCAACGCCTTTGTCCCAGGACCAGGTGTAATTCTGACTCCTGAGGTAGGAGAGTTCAGGTGTGGAGACTGAAACAAGGACCTAGCATGACGAGCTTCCTCTAATCCAAGTAAACTCAGCCCAAACCTAAAGCCCCCTGGGAGCTTTATCTGCCAGTCACGTGGCAAGCAAGAGCGCTGGGGCTAGGGAAGGTGGGAGCCGGGGCCTCTGGCTAGGTGGCCTCCATCTCAGCAGCCTTGCTGTGTACCTTTCAGGGAACTCCGCCTAGAGGCCCCAAGCAGGCTGCTGCATCTACATTTAGCCAAGGACATGCTGATGTCTGGGACCTAGAGCCTTACGGGTTCCCAGGGTGGCCCGTGAATATCAGTCTTTCAGACTTTCTCGGCAGTTTAGTGATTGTCAGGGATTTCCCTGCCTTTATGAGCTGATGGTAGTACCTCACCTCCGAGATGTGACTGTGAACTTGATTCTACTGAGTCCCAATGCTAGACAGTGCTTGGCTTGTTAGCTGCTGCGGTTCCATTTGATCTTTCCAAGAGCTGTATGAGGTAGGTGCCATGTATCCCTTCCTGCAGATGAGAAAACACTTTGTTTAGCTGTTGAGTGATAGCTGTCATCGGAACCCAGACCTTCTGACTCAAGTCCAGGTGGCTGATTACCAGACTATTCTGTATTTTATAAATTTCACGGAGAGGAAGGGAGAGAGAGAAACTGATTGATTGCCTCCCGTGTGTGTCCTGAACAGGGATCGAACCCACAACCTGGGTATGTGCCCTCACCAGGAACTGGGGCTGCCACCTGCTGCTGCCGCCCCAGCCTCAGGGTCAGTGTAAAGGTCACTGCATGACCAGGTGGGAGCCAAGGTTTAAGATTCGGGTTCTGCTTGAACCCTTTGGCAAGGCCTCTTCCCAGCTGTCACCTGGGACTGCCTTCCTAAGGGGAGCATTTGCACGGTGCTTGGAACTTTCTCTGGATGCAGAACCTCCGTTTCTCCAGCCCTTGTCACTGCCCCGCAGATGTCCGTGTGCAAATGCCCTCCCGCCTCGTGTCAGCCCCTCAGCTCCCTGGTAGCCGAGCTCCTGAATGCCTGAGGCTTCTGGTGTGAAAAGACCCGGGTGTGGGAGGGCAGAGGCCTGATTCCAGCCTGTGTTGGCCACTGATGCCCTGAGGATTGGTAACACCCAGGAAAAGGGGGCACTCAGGCACCGTGCCTGGTGCTTGGCATGACTCCTGCTCTCAGGGCTACTTAACAGGCCAGCCCGGATTTTGACATCAGCCTGTTTTCCCTGCCCCTCCCCATCACCTCTAAAATCACTTCCCTTTGATAAATTGCATCTCTCATTTATATCCACACACTGTCCAAGATGCTGGGGACACACATGAAAGGTCCCTGCCTTCATGGAGCTGACAACTCAGTGGGGAGCCCAATCATTAAGTAAACGATGGGGCTGGAAGATGGCCAGGAAAACAAGGCGGTGAAGGAGGGGCAAGGGGGCTCATACTTGCCATGTAATGTGTAGGTGGGAGCAGAGGTGAAGGGGTGACGGGACGTCTGAGGGAAAAGAATTCCAAGTTGAAGGAACAGCCAGTGCAAAGGCCCCAGGTGGAAGTATGCCTAGCATTTTAGAGAAATACAGAGGCTGTGTGGTTGGAGTGGCGAGAATAAGGAGAAGACAAAGTTCCAGAGGGAACAAGAGGCAGATGGAGCAGGCCCTTAGCCCCGGTGAGGACTCGCTTTCACTCTGTGTGGGAGGAGACATGAGAGGGTTCTGAGCACAGGAGGGATGTGATCTGACTCAGATGTTCACAGGGCTCCTCTGTGGGGAAAAAACTTAAGGGGGGGGGGAAGGGAGCCCTGCATTAATTCAGGCTGCAGAGGAGGGTGGCTGGAACAATGTGGGGGCACTGGAGTGAGGAGAAGTGAGATTCTGGATCTATTTTTAAAATATATATTTTAATTGATTTTTTTACAGAGGGGAAGGGAGAGAGACAGAGACCTAGAAACATCATGAGAGAAACATCGATCAGCTGCCTCCTGCAACCTCCCCACACTGGGGATGTGCCCACAACCAATGTACGTGCCCTTGACCGGAATCGAACCTGGAACCTTACATTCCGCACTCTAGCCACTGAGCCAAACCGGCTTTGGCTGGATCTATTTTTAAAGAAGAGGCAGAATTTGCTGGGCAAGAGAGAAGGTGACTGAGCACCTGGAAGGTTGGGGCTTGCTGGTTCCCTAAATGTGGAGGAGCAGGTTTGGGAGGGAAACCGAGTGAAGGGTGAGACGTGCTAAATTTGAGATGTCTATTGGGTATTCCAGGAGAAGGTGTCACCCTGGTTGGGTCCACAGATAGAGAATAATTACAACCAATGACACATAACCTTAGAATAGTTACCTTGTGCTCTACATAAAATAATACTAACAAGTAGCAACAATTGTCTATTTTCATTCTCGGTCTTTCCATCTCTTGCCCTCCAGTAGCCATATGGCCCATCAGGGATTGCCCTCAGAGGAGGTTATCAGTTCAATAACGACACAGTATGTGGCAAGAGCCAAGATTGGCTCCCAGGCTGTCCAATTTTGAGACCAGCATGTTCTCTCATCTGTAGTTGCTTTTGTGATAAAGGGGATCGAATCGGACTCCATCCTGCTCCAGAAAGCCCTGGATCTGCAGTTCTCTGAAAACAAAGCTCCCTGACCAGGCAGCTGTGTGTGGGCTAAGAATCTGTAGGGAGTAAGTGAGCAGGGGCTCTCCTAAAACTTCTCTTTGAACTTGAGTGCCTGGACTCTTCCAAGAAGGCCTTCTGGGTTTGCATAATTTTCACAATCTGGGCAGAGCTTCAGACAGGCAGCTGAGGGGTGAGAGGTTTTAGTTTGTCACTGGAGAGGGAAGGACTTGCTGGTGTCATCCACAGCAGGTGGGGGAGGGCGGCATGCCTGTCAAAGATCTGACTCCCCAACGGTCTCCACCTTTCTCACCAAACCTCCTTCTCCACCCAGATTCCTTCCCTGGGACAAAGATGTGGGCGGGTTGGTTTTCAGGTTTTTATTGTGG